GATCCTTGTGGTTGGGGTGGCAGGGGGGCTCAGGTATTATGCAATTCAGGCGCAATTATTAGCCCAAAAATATGTCAATTTCCTACCCTTATTAACCAAGGTTAGAATAATTATTAAATATAGAATCTGGGTTTTTTTTCCATTCGCTGGTACCAGAGGGATACACATCACAAATGGGAGAAGGGTGTGTTGTCAGCCTTGGAACTAAGAAGACAGGTAGAAATAAGGGGCAGGGCTTGGATTGTACCCACCCAGTATGCACAGAAGAATGGTACTGGCAGGCAATTAAGTGCTTAACACAGGCAGTCAGAAGGACACCCCCCACCCCACCTCCCTCCCTCACACTACCTTTAGGATTTAGTCATAAATTGGTCAAAAGCTGTGACCATACTCCAAACCAAGGGAGTTGATTGAAAGGCAATGGTTTAATACTATAATTAGATAGTATATATACTTTGATTCTATCTCTTTGCCTTGATATAGTTATTCCATCCATGGCGATACTCATGCCATTATCTGTTTCTGTTATTACAATTATCAACAAATCCTTTGAACCGTCCTGTAGTAAGCCCACCCCTAGCTTTGATTCAGAGGTATTCTGTTGTCAACCAGACTCATTTCAGGATAAGTACGGTATTACGAAAATATGAATATATGTTGACCACAACATAGATGTACTGAATTTTGTAATCTTTATTACTTTTTTTGAGTAAATATGGTTTTTTAATATTTGATATGTAAAAATTCCAGGTGGCATGGATCAGTTGTTAACATAGCTCATTTTGTTACAATCTGTGTCAGTCTAATCGTTATTCTCGTCCTAATATTTGTTGTAATAGAATTTACTTGTTGTTGGTAATTTATTCTTAATTTCAATTTCAAACTGTGATCTTAAAAAAAGTATTGATATATACTGCTGTTGTTCATTATATTACTTGTTATATGGGAAGATAACAAATTGTTATATATATAATTTTAATCCATTTCTAAAATTTGTTTAAAAAATACAAAGAGATGAGGTGAATTTTACTGCTGCAATGGGTATTAATTTTTCTGACTTTATCAACAAATACAATTTGATGTATATGAAACAGGACTGTGACCTAGGATAAGTGTGGTAGGGACTTAATTTTACTAGAAATCCACAATGAATTATTAATTGCATTATTCATAGCAAGGCTTCTCTGCAAGTATCTGTCTAAATTTCAGTTCAAATTAGGATATTTTCATTGGAATCTTTTATAAAAATCTTTGTCCAGGTTTTTAAAATTATTTTTTAAGTATCATAGCTGTGTGGAATTTGATAGAAATAGTTGATGGTATAGTCAGAATAGCATTAAAATGTAAGTATTTACTGGATTCATTTTAAGAACCTATAATTATATTGACAAGTTTGAGTTCAATAACAGGTACATTTATGATGGTTTCCGGTCTCTATCATTGTATGATATATCAGTTGTTTGTACAGAACCTTTACTACTGCATTATTTGTTGTCTCTCAGATTTGTTGATGTATGAAGATGAAAACCAGACAAGATGTAGTTTCTTTTATAAAAAGAAATCACTGTGTAAAGAATTACCCCATACTGTGTGATTATAGTTTGATGAACATAAAATCATTTCATCATCTATCATGTTTGTAGCCAAATGTTTATGGATTAAACATCATGTGTGGAAAATAAACATGAAAAGTAACTTATGTTTTGCTTTAATGTATGCATACAAACATAGGCAACTGCTCAATGCATTTGAGCAAGATTGCTAAGAGAGGAACACCATTATGGTGAAACTAGTATGGAAATGAAGCAATATTTCTCCAATTAAAAGGAAAAACAAACACAATTTTGTTTACTCTATAACAGTGCCTACCAGGTTTGAAAGCAATCAGTTGAAAAGTGAGGTAGAGGACTGGAACACAACACAAAAAAGCTGAAAGAAACAAGGAATAATTGATTAATCTTCTGAAAATCCTGAACCAAAATGTTATGTAGGGGAAACAGTGACATGTTTTATGATAAAACATGTACCGGTATACCTTGTTCTCATTTTAGAACTGACTTTACCTACTTTGATTCACTAAGATTTACATGGTGGATGCTGCTTACTCTGGTCTTATTTTCTTTGTACTTTTTCAGGAGTCTCCCTGTAAATCTTTCTTATGGTCATATTTCGACCTAGTTTTATTGAAATCGAGTTTGGATTATGATTTTGTTGATATGTTGGTATTTTCTTGTATCATTTATTATGCTCCCCAAAGGGAGAGCAGCATATAGTTGCTGTTTTGTCGGTCAGTCCGTCCATCATAACTTTGTCTGGAACATAACACAAAAATAATGGGAGGTATCAACATAAAACTGAAAAGGTAGATATATCTCAACAAGGAGAAGAGCAGTGCACCAGAACCATCACACTCTTTTGAATAATATAGGAGTTATTGCCCTTCGTTATTTTTCATACTTAAATTTTGTCCGGAGCATTGCACTTAAACTATAAGAGGTATCAACATGAAACTGCATTGATAGATAGTTCTCAACGAGAAGGATGACAGTTCGCAAGAATATTAACTCTCTTATTGCCTTTGTTATTTGTCATACTTAACTTATGTCCCATTCGTCTCTGTCGGCTCTTGTTGAGTCCGAGTTTGGATAATTTTGTTGACATGTTGGTATTTTCTTGTTGTTTACATGTCTTAGTGATGAAACCTACCAAGTGTAAAAGAGAGCGGTTGAAAACTGTGAGATCTCTGGACATGTTTACAACAGACCAATAGACAACGCCATACCATATATGTACTGTAATATGTCCCATTGAAGTGACAATTGTTTTGTCGGTGACTCGCCTCCCACCAATACACTTACGTACAACAAAATACCTGAGAATTATTGATTAAAAAGGTATTGAAACTTATTTACCAGCCGGATTTAATTACTTTTGTTGGCCTAGAATGAAGCACATGAGCCACACCATCACCCGACCACCTCCAGGTGAAATAGAGAAAAACCTCAACGAGATTACTGAATGGATCCGTAACTTCGAATTACACACGGAAGATATTATTGGAAGAAGTCGTAAACAGATCCCATGATGTTTGACTCCTGTAATCGAGAAAGCGTGATATTTATTTGAACAAATTTGGTAGCCCTTTATCCCAGCATGCTACTGACCAAATATTTTCACCCGCTTGGTACCTCGAATATGGAGAAAAGGTCGTTTTTATATTTCAATAGTTTTTATCTTGTGATATTAAAAGTGAGTCTTCCATGCCAACGGTGCATGTTACAAAGTCAATATCACGACATTGCGCCTCTTCTTTGTTCATAATTGTAATTAGGCGCCCAAGGTGTTATTTCTACGGATGGTGCCACACGATCTCCCTCAAATCTACCGACAGCCATTCCTTACCCATTTAATGTTGCCGTAATTTTAGTTAATCATGTTTTATTTGTAAATGTGTAATGTGTTCAGCTTCAGTGTAGAATTATACGTGTGTTACAGAAATATGAAGCTTGCAGCATTAGTAGTCGTTTCTCGGATAATCGAAAGGTTTCATTTTCTTCCGTCTGAAATTACCAGCAGCAGGTATTAGAGTGACCGGCATTGCAACATCTGATATATTCTCTTGACCATATGTTAGGTGACCACACATATCTTAGACTGGACCTGGTTTTGTTGCTGTATTTTAGATTTTGTTTTCAATGACAACTCCATAGGATATATATATATACAATTAACTCGGAAAGACATTTACAGAGCGTGCTATATCATGTTCAAATGGCATTCTCAAAGTATAGAAAAAGACTTAAACTGTCTTTCATTAACTGGTACGTCATCAAATCACCACAACACGTCACATGATCGAGAAAATTAACTATTCAACGAGTTTCATTTGGTTAAAATGTCAATAAAACGCCGCCGCGCTTCTGGTTCAATTTTTGTGTCCTCATTCCTCTGCCGCCCTAATCATTGCATCCCATTTTCTCCAATTGTTTGATATTTTGGATCTCATGCATTGACTCTTTGTCCGAGATAGTCCCATGCATGCTCAATTGGGTTCATGTCTGGTGACACTGCAGGTCACGGGAGCGTCTCTACCGACTTCTTATTGAAGATACTCTTGCACTAGTCGGGATATGTGTGTCTTTTGACATTGTCATCCGTTAGGGAAGGCTGGTCTGCCATTGGATGGAACAACCAAAAGTCGAAGGATATTATCACGGTACTTCTGACCATTTACAGTTCTACCAAGGACATGCAAACCAAGCTTACAGAAGGAGAAACGCATCTCCACCACCAAATGTTGTGCGTAGAATGTGATTCTGATGGTATGCCGACCCTGCCGTCTGTAGGACTAGGGGGACAGCGGCATGTTTGCCATACCAACTTGAGCCATTCTAGGAACTTGCCACCTTTCACGATTGGTCAATTTTCGAGGTGTCATTTACCATGCAGGTGCAAAGGCTACTTTAGGTGTCAAAGTTAAAAAAATGTACAAACTGAAATTCATGGTTCCTGAATCATAATCCATTTGTACATAGACAAATATTAATTTTCCATATTTGGGGGGAGGAGGGGGGATTGTCCTTGTCCACCTCTAACCAACTCAAGGATGATATGTCAAGCAGACAACAACAGGAATAAGTAACATTTACAACGGATAGATAACATCCTTAATAAGACAATTAAAATTTTGTTAAGTTGAAATTATTCTTTATTCTTATCAACTTATCAATATCGAATTTCAGATTTCGTCCTCAGTTTAATTGAAACTATGGTACGTTCATTATATATCACAAATCGGAAATACGGACGCCGAATTAACGAATTATCTACGGGAAGCCAAAACATAATCCAAATAAAATAATTGACGTTATTTACATATTTCACAAGGCACTCCTGCAGGTAACTACTACCAAAGTCTCTAAAAATAGACCGTGAACAGATAGTTGTTGCTGTGTGCAGACACATCCCAGTATCTGCACTCCAGCTCCGAACGATCCATCATGGCGGACGGAATTATTCAGACATATCATGTTTGGATACTGATGTGTGGTTTAATAGGATTGGTGAGCGCCGGGAACATCATGGATCGGTCACGTCTTCACAAATCTTTATTGCATGACGCGTATGACACGACCGTGTTCCCTGGGTCCAGCGACAGTCCACTGGAGGTTTGTAATTTGATTTCGCCATGTCAGAAATTTTAAGTAATATTGTAAGAATAATTTTTAGTTAAACAAGTCAAATATCTAGTTTAATCCTCGACATTTTGTTTCTGATGCCCATTAATTGCTCTATACATGATTAGAGCGCAGGAATTTTACGTGCCCCCCTCCCCCCTCTCATTGCATGATCGTTATATAAAAAGACAAATAGATTTAGGAGGTTATCTTTTCTCTCTGTTAAACATATCAACCAACTCATGTTCCATATATCTCTCTCGACACAACCTCGATCATATTTGGTCCATGAAAGCTATGACTTCTTTAAATACGTAATCCATGACGTCCAATAGTACATTCAATGGGATGCATAGAGCACATAGAGCATGACTATGAGAGCACGTATCATCGGATCGTATGTCATGATGCCTTGCCCTATGACATTTCAGTGTGATGACACTATAAAAGTGTCCCCATTTTACTTTAGACATTAGGAGTTACGAGGGCGTAAACCACTAAGATTTATATATATATTCGGGTAGAGTCAGCCTAGTTGAGCAAGGTTAATCAAGTACCAGACACAATCAAATAATATATATTATATTCAAGAAGATCTAATTTGTTTATATCTCATTTGTGGTTGGATATCGTACTTAAATTCTATGATATATCTAATTAGGTATCACATATTGATTAAATCAGATAACTACTTAATTAGATAATTTACGTAATTCTGTTAAATAAAAGATCAACGTTGCCCTATGAATGAATGGCAACTTGATTTGCCATATTTGGGCGTTTCCTTCCATTGTGTCGGCAAAGAGGAAGGCATTCTCAGTATCTACATATATGTGTTAGTGCGTGAGAGTTCAGCTGTTGCGATGAACGAATTTAAGTGTCGAACGGAAAACATTTTTAGCTACGAGGCGCTCTTGAAAATCTAGTTAACGAAGAACGGCTGTTAATCTGTTGAAACCCCCGACAAAATCTGAGATTTCGTGTTATCATTATTAAGAACGATACGACTGACATTGGTACTGAACTGCATAGCTTTTATCTTTATCTTGGAGGCCCGAACTACAAAATTTCAATATTAGTGTTCTAATATAGCTGAAAACATCTGGTCAACTAGTTAGTAACAAGCGAAAGGATGATTCATGATGTAACAGTATGTGTGTACGGTGAAACTCGTTAGATAGTCTGATATAATTTTTTGATTTACATTTTTATAAGTAACGTTAGCTCTTTCCCCAAACTCAAAACTCCTTGAACCGAAAACGTTTCCCCTGAGATACGGGCGATAGGTTAGACAAGTAAACCCCCCTTTGGAGTTATTGCCGAGTGTGGCGTTTAGAAAACAATAATTGAGAGGAAGAAAAGAGAAAAAAGTCCAAGACTTAGTTGTCTGTTACGATGTGAATACAAATTACTCGGGATTTTTATTTGGTTGTTATCATCAGGTACATATGTTTACTTAAATGATTGAGTTATTTTACTCTGTCAGTTCGTAAAGACAGAAACGATATGAATATCGAGTCAGATACCATTTAGACACCTATTCGACTGACCAGTATCCCGGTTATGTTAAGATCAGCGAGTGCACTTTATGTTTTATTGTCTAAACTGAAAAGATAGCATTTCTAAATGAATTATGTTAGGCATCACGAGCATGTGGTTAGTAGATGTATCACTTGACCACCTTTGGAATTTTTGTCTGATTTTCGGTTGTGATAAGCGAACTACTCTACCACATCGTTAGTTCCCATCGCTGTGTGCTGCCGTTATACATATATAACACTATCGTCAGTAATTGGGAACATATTCTCTGCTTTATGCGCGTTGTTGACTTAACATTGCACGAGGAGCGCTATATATATTAAGTTTGTTACAGATAAAATCACTTAACGCTCGGATGCTGTTGCGTGTACGCCAAATTTTATAAGCTTGGTTAAAATGAACTTGGAAACGTGAATTTATTCTACTCTGTGCATATTCCGGAAATGCCATTGGGCTGATTTTCATATGGCTAAGTACCTGTACAGTGTATAATGGTTTGTTTGAAATATTTCAACACTTATCTACCTTGGGCGATACACATAATATGTAAAGTCTACCTTTCAAACACGTGTAAGGAATAAAGCGTTGGACTGCCTTGTTTTGTCTTTTATGGTTGTTATATATGTCCGAGTTTAGCACAATATGATGTGGTAACCTGCAAACCTCTGGCATTTACAATGACAGTAAATGATATAATAAAACAGTTCAATGTTTATATTTAGATACCCGACCAATGCTGTTGCCTTATGTCTATTTATAACTCGACACAAACTGAAATAAATGATTAATTATCGACAGTTGAATCCGCAAAGTCGAATAGTCATTTCGACGGCAAACTGTCACCTTTGCTGTGACCAAAATATTGGTCACCTGCTGTATGGCATTTATTGTATCATAAAACACAAATCATTCTTGTTAATTTATGTAATGAAATTGCCATGAAAATGTAAATATGACTGTACCTTCAACAGAACAAATGTCAATTTGCACGCTTCGTTATTAACAGTAAATGGCGTCAGAGAAAACGTGATTAATTGTAGCGAGGAGAGAAAGATACTTTATCAAACCAGTTATTGTGACATCAATGATTGGGTCATTTATTGACTCTTTAATATCAATCATGCTTGACCTTATCAATGTTGTGTGACTAGCACTGTCGTATAATAGCGACAACTTCATTTCCTACCTACTCTATTAAATCTGAACGAAGACATCGTAAGACAACTCGTGCCATTTCATCTTGATCGACCATAGTGATTGATATATGCTTATAGTGGTTTTGGAATTGTTGTTCAGTAAATGAACTTTATAGTCAGACATCATATGATAGCAACAACGAGAGATCGGAAAGACGTTTTCTATCCTTTCTCGCTTGGGTGAGATATATTGTCATGATAAACTTTGGGATAAGAAATTGCAAATTAAGATAGGAAATGTTGTTCCCTTATCTAACAATGAGCTTCAATTGTTATAATTACTGTGTGTGATATTCTCAAGTTGTTAAAACAAAACGCAATTTCGAAAGCAGTTGATAATAGTACATAATTGTTTATGTGAAATGCTGTATGTGAGATTCTTTTAGAAAGTAATAAAATAGTAAATGCTGAGCGATTGTGAAGTCGTTTTTCGTTGGTGTAAGACGTTGACCAAGAGCAAAAAACACTTCGTATCAACATAAAGCACTTCACATATGATAAACAACATTTCGCATTTTGCATCTTTCACCATTAATTTTGTATCAAGCATTGCGCCCTGGCCTTCTATAAGATAGCATGTTAATGTTTTATCCTTCAGCGAAAGCATTTATCATCAAGCAAAAAATTCAAAACCGTATTTCGTATCCAGTAAAAACATTGAATTTATATTAAAAAAATTGCATTTGGCGAGTGTTCTTTTATATTAAGTATTGCAAACCGACTTTCCATTGGTAACTAACAGATAATTCGCGATGGCAACCTGTTGAGTCAGAAGCCTAAAATGTTGGTATATTTGGTGATAAATCTTCTTTTCTTTACTTCAAGGTCGCAAAGCCATTATCAAGGTCACACATGTCACTTCTCAGTAATTCGATAACATTTGTTCTGGCTATTTTCAGGTGTTATTGGGACTTACAAAGTCATAACACATTAAATATTATGATGATATTGGAAGTTTTATGTAATACAAAATAAGTAAACATTTTTATAATGTTGTAGTTTTGTATTTGATGAATATTTCACTTCCTAAATTCATATGTTCACTACAGCTTTTTGAAATTTATATTTGTTTTTATATACCCTTAATATATCCTTTTGTAGGTAAGTGTCCAATTCAGGTTGGTAGCCTTTAATGACTTCGACGAAAAGGCGGGTCGTTTTGCAGCTTCCGGATTCCTGATAACGGAATGGAAGGACGAACGAATTATTTGGGACCCCAGTGATTTTGGAAAGATTTCCTCCACCCAGCTGCCTCAGAGCCGCGTGTGGACTCCTAATATCATTGTGTGGAACTCCTACAACAGGGTTCGTCCGCTTGGATATGACACATTACCAGTGTGGTATAACCATTCTGGTGACGCTGTGTGGGAACCAGGGAATCTGTTTGAAACAAGCTGTGACGCGAAGGTTCGAACATTTCCCTTCGATGTCCAGTCATGCACGATTAACATTTTCTCATACGCTTATCTGGAAAACGAGATTAACTTTACAGCTGCAGGTATTGATGATTCGAACTATGAGACGAACGGGTTGTGGGATATAGTCTCTGTCAATATGTTTGAAGTACCAAGTGATATCGGAACCAACGAGAAACTAATGATAGAAATACAGTTTGTCAGACGATCTACCTTCCATGTTATCCATACTCTGGTACCTTTGATCATAATAAGTGTCCTCAATATTCTTGTTTTCATTATTCCAGTAGACAGCAGTTGTAGGATTGACTACGCAGTGACTATGTTGTTGACTCTTTCCGTTTTTCTGACTGGGGTATCGAGCACACTTCCGGAATCGTCACTCCCATATATCTCTTACTTTTCAGTACTGATTCTTATTCAAATTATATCAAGTTCTCTTATACTTGTATGTGCAATAACTAGTTTCTCTTTGGGGTCACACAGCGAAACCTGTCTTCGTCTACTAACGTTTGTTTTGAAACCGTTCATGTCTTTGGTGGCCGTACCTAAACATTCAACTCCAGAAAATTCCAACAAAGGTACTGAAATGGAGTCTCCTGACGGAGACAAAGTTTGTAATGAGAACGTTAAATCATTGGAGGCTCAGATTAGCCTTGTTTCAAGATTGTTCGATTACATATGCATTGTCTTGTTCTCATTGGAAGTGGTCATCGTTAATATGGTTTTCTTCATTCTAACTAACACATAGTCAACTGATAAGGAACAAGACACTATTCTTACATACGATAACTGACATCTGAACGTCGTTGTGTTTCATTTCTTAATTACCCGTTTAGCTGGATCCATTATGTTCCAACATGTATAATTTCATTTATCCATTTATCAGCCGTGTCATTCTGTCTTGAATTGTTGTCGACATTTTGAACCCAACAAGTTAAACCACGTCACCAAATATCTGTAGAAAAGAAATTGTTTTTCAAACGCAATATTTATTATTTAAATGTCAAAAATGAATCATAGCTAATACTAACAATCTTGCAAGTGCCCTTCAGTACAGCACTATTAATAAAAAATAGAAATGACAATGAACAGACTCATGTGTTTCAATTGAATAAGCAGATCAAGTTTAGTTTTCTTCAATAACTTAGGCAGAATACAAATAAAAATACATGGATCGCAGGGAACATACTTGATCAGAAGACTCTCTAAAAAACAAATCGATACTTAAATTGGTCAGTCATTCGCAGGTTGTTAATGAAGCTATAGGGATCACATAATCATTTTATTATTAAGAGTTGCTATTTATATTATTTTTTCATTTCATAAATACAGAAATAGTCACGTGCTCCAGTACATTTTCGAGAGGTCAGAGCATAAATATAAAGTAAAGGTGATATTTTGATTCAGTGCGAGCATAGTGATTCGTTGTATTTCAGCTTTAAAGATACCTGATAATGAGAACGCGAATTATCATTACATATGCTAATTAATAACTAGAGTTAGTGAAAAAATTGCCGATAAAGAAGGCCACTCATCTATAGCTTTGAAATTACAAGATCTACTTGATTTTATTAATTTTTCACCTGCCACTGCTTATTCCAGCCAATATACAGGCAAATGGGTCCTAATGTTTAGCGGTTGAAAATTTCAAAAATCATCATCCATAGAATTTTAAAGTTACAGAGCTTAATTAGTTTATTCGAAATGAGATACAGGTTGGACTGTATGGGAAATCCTAGGAATTGAGAGTATTTTTCTCCAGTGCTCATTGACCAAGATTTCTATGAAGGGCGTCATTGATGAAGATCATCAGATCTTATTTTCCATGTGCATCGTGTCAATTTTATGCTCGTATTTGACCCTCCCATCCTATATATAAATGTACAGCAAATATTTTGTAAACAGGACTATATCTTTGTTGACATTGTCAATGGATTAGAATATTTTCTTCATTTCATGTTACCTCGTGTATAAACACTTAGATATAGTTTCGATTACCTGTCTCCCACCTGTATGTGACGAATGAGAAAAATAGTGAAGAAATGTCCACCAAAAACAATTAGTCAAATGTGATCTGTGTTTAGCAAAATACACGAAACATTCACTTAAATTAGCTTCACCCTACAAACATATCTGAGCAAATTTCGTCTACGAAAATAAAAAAAAATATTACATTCACTGAATAAAGCCTGAAAAGATATAGGCCTTGGCCTCTCAGGTAGAAGACATGAAGAACTATGTAACAGTGTTACAGGCTGTGTTAAAATGGCATCAGTATAAACGAGTTTGTGAAGAACATTCTGTGGCATGCTCTTGAAACAATTTGTAGTAATGACTCGGGTGATTGATTTCTCGTTACTAAAATCCCGTTAAGCCTTGTGGATAGTCTATGATAGACTTTTAACGACGTTGTTGGCTAAATGGATACTTGATCAGAAACCATACGTCCAATAGGAAATTTCAGTCCTAAACTTATAGATGCCACTGCGTTCAAAGCGAGTTGTATGAAGTTTTACGCTTATCACAACAACAGAAAACTCTTGCGGCCAGACAAAGCACCAGATAGTAAATAGGCACTGAACAGACAAAAAGCAATGCTATTGAGTTATTTTTATTTTGGTAATTTATTAGAATTATTATCTAGTGTTTGGTTATTGTAAAATGGAGATTTATATTCTTCCCAACTTACCATGATGTAACACGTTTATGGCATTATATTTCTGTGTCAAAAACGAAACAATAAACTAACTTTGAAAAATTCCTTTCAACATAGTTATTTATTCAAGAAGTAGGTCATTTCACCATACAGAGACGTATTCTCCTGGAAATTACATCACACATAACAAAGATGTATACAATACTTTCATCAAATTTTACATTCATATCGTTACAAAGAAGAGAGACGGGAAACAGGACTGGGAATTTCAGTAAAGCCAGGAAAACAGAGAAGACAGTGGCATGTATTTAGGTAATATTGTCACAATTAGCAGTAAACCTATTATTGATTCTGATAAAAGTCCTATAGTGGCTAGGAACGGATATCAGAAACGAAATGCGTTCGAACGATTTGTTTTTCTTTTGCGAGGGAAAGCAGTATTACGTTGACGTAAAATCAGAAAGACAAGAACATAATGCAGGTATACAAGGCTTTGAAAGGTCTAGTATATAATGTTTCCTCCAAACCCAATGATAATGTTTCGTTCGAACGCAAGAAACCTTTTTTTTAAAAGTCCGATTCCAGCCGAGGTAAAACCAGAACGGAATGTTTCGTTAGAACGCAAGAAAGCTTTTTTTTAAAGTCCAGTTCCAGCCAAGGTAAAACCAGAACGGAATGAAAAGTCATTTTACTTAGAACATTAATTGTGATATTACAAGTTCATGCTTACTAATTTTTTCACATTTATTACAATATTCAGACGCTGGGTTATTGATGATATTAACTCGGAACAAATCATAATTCATCTTACTATATACAACCTTAAATATTAATTCTAATATTTATTATTTCCCATTTCAAACTTAGTATCAATTGCGTTACAAATCAAAATTAAGTTGAAGTTTCGATCCAAACTGTTGTTAAACTAGACCATTACCAACCGAATGGGAAATAAAACAAAAACAAAAAAAGAGAAGGATATATTTTCAGTTTTGAAGTTATGTCTCTTTCCATTCTAAAGCATTATTGTTGTATCGGTATGCCGTGTCTGTCACGATGCTTTAATCGCCCTTATACAATAGTAGTGACATATTTGCTGTGCTGTGACTGTTACAGAAATACTTTGTTACAGGCAAATGAAACATTCGCTTTCTGTTTACCAACTTAATTAATTGTAGCCTACGTCAAAAGATGTAATCACTCTGATGTTCATGACATTCATCAATAAAAAAGTACATTATATCATTATATTTGTCAGTTATCGGATACCCGAAGGTACCGACAGAATATAGTACTGCTATAGATAGTAACACATTATCTGTAATATCAATGATACCTCGCCACATTATGTATGTCTATATGTAGCACACGTCATGACGTTTACACGAATGCAATTTAAAGCGGGAAAAATAAATACATGTCCAGTGATATAATTTTAGTCACGGTTCGTCATGGAAGTTATTGTGAAAAATGGGTTCCAAATGGGTTCTTTTTTGCGGCAATCTAATTAAGAACTAACTACTTTAAACTCAATTAAACAAATTAACGATTTAAACTCAAATATGGCACACTAATTCTTGTTTCTTCCATTTACCTATGATTTTACCTGTGTAACACGTTTCCTGAGATATTATACTAGATATTGTGGATGAGATTTTAAATCATCTCTTTTAAATGATTAAAATGGCACAATATAGAGTCATTTAACAAATTGCCTGTTATGAAATACATGCAACATTGCATTCAATATTACGATATTTCATAAAATTTACTTTGTTGACATGAAAAACATAGATATTACATTTCATATTACATATATATTGATTACATTTCATAATACACATAACCAGTGTTAACATGAAATGCAAACGACAATATCATTTTCCTTGATATAACACACTTACATTTATTGACATGAACAAATACACAGTACATATGACATTACAGTTGCTGATATGTGCCATTGACATTGTTATGCCCGCCAAACTGACATTATAATTGTCACGTGATAAGCGTTATTTGTGGTATCACACTACAAGAAAATACCATCATGTCAATCATGGTAGTTTATATTGTGTAATTACCATGCAATGTACATATACACGTATAACTTCTTTCTTCTTTCAAATAGAGAGTTATTTTATTAATAGCAATGTAAGGGTGTGTTTTCTTACTCACTGTCATCTGATGAGATGTTCTTCCAGCTGTTGATCATCTACCTCGACATATCATCATCCTTCAGTTTTATATTCATTTTACTAACCTATGTAAGATAATGGTTAGGAGTATGCTGTTTCACCCTTTAGTATCACCATAGAAATAGTGACGAAATCTAGAACACCGATCATCAAAATGAAGACGATGAAAGAAAATGTGTCGAAGGTTGAACCGACTTCCTTCCAAGTGATTTTGGGTTCGTCTTCTTTTTTACTGGAATCCTCGTTCTCGTCTTGATGGTTATATTTTACTTCGCGTTCCCTGTCCCCGTCTGACGAAGTTGTTATCCAGTTTGGTTTCTCAAGCTCTTGGACTTTTGTGATGTCAGTTGTATTTGAAGGGATGAACCCAACCTTTTCTCGTCGTTTACTTAGCATCATTTTCGTCCAGAATTTAGCCAAGGTAGATATTTCATCCGCGTCGGATTTGTGATAAATTTGAACACTCTTAACCGTGAAAACCATCACCAGCATACTTATGAATACATGGATGGATACCATATAGCACATAATAGAGATCTGGGGCAGAGAAGACTGAGGAAGGTAGCTGCCTACCACTGTCATAGCAACTGATATGGTCAGCAACATGGTGGTCGCAAAGTCAATTCTGTTTCCTTCTTCTACCGGAATGAAAAAGACTGCGAGATTCACAAGACTCATTAACACAACCGGTAATATGATTAACAATACAAAGATAAACCCACGTCTTCTAAACGTGACAGAGACATGTACCATCAGCTCATTCTGTACACTAGTAACATACATACTCGTACTCAATACTTCCCACATGGTGTTCAATGTCGATTCGCCCATTGAAGAATGTGTATCATTGATAATTATGTTGAGTTCATCCGTATTGTAGCCATAAGGATTAAAGTCAAGCGTACAACGCTGAATGTCAAAAGGAAAGTATGTGACATCAGCATTACATGACGTTTCAAATACCTGTCCAGGGTTCCAAATCGCCAGACCGTCGGAATATACTCTCACTGGTGCATCACGAAACCCAATCTTGGTCAAAGAAGAGTAAGAATTCCATAAGACAAATCCAGGGGTCCATACTTCATCCTGTGGCAACTGGAGCGACAAGATCTCGCCATGATCTGGAGGAAACCACCTGAGTCGTTCATCAGACCATGATGAGGTAAGGAAGCCAGACACAGAGAAACGACTCATTTGCACGTCGAATTCTTTCAGTGACATCAAGGTGAAATAAACAGAAACCTGCAAAAATGTAATTTTGAAATATGGTAACGAATTAGATAATTAGTTGATTTATGTGGAAGTTTCATTGTGACTACTAAGAAGTACAAGAAGATTCAGACCAAGCGTTCCGGAAGTGGAAGCGTCTTCTGCTTCCCCGACGATACCCGCCATGTATACCGTAATCTTATTTGAGAACGTGACATGACTCATTTTGAATTAACTAAGATCTACAGTAGGTGTCGTCGATGAAGCCTTTCACTCGAGTAGCGTACTGTAAACGTTTGTATTATTCAGGAAATGTCTCTTTCCTTTCTTCAGTGGACATTCGTCTGCAGATAAGATGAGGTGTTATCACAGCATTGAAGTAATTCGGAAAATGCAAAGAGATGTGTATACATTGTACCTACATACAAAGAATAAAAGTATCACAAATCACGCGGATGAAATAACATGCTCTAACGAATAAGTAATCCAGGTATTCTACTAAGTTCAACCGACTTACCAGAATCTGTCCATCGCCTGGCCCATCGGGACGTACTCTATCATTGTAGCCGTGTAGGAGACTGTCATGGAGAATGCTTCTGTGTGTTGAGTTCGAAGCATCACAACGAATAGTAACAATAAGGAAAATAGTAAGACACGATGAAAGCATTTCCCATAAAATACTCGATATCATCTTCATATGTTAGAAAAAAGTGTCCTTATGAAATGATTCTATGAAACGATCTCCTGGAGTAAAGATAGGACACTGAATACACCGTAACTGATTTCACAGTAGTTAGTACACGACAAATTCTCCTGTGACACCAAATATAGCTAAAGGCTGTCAGTAAATGGCATGACGTTATGCTACACAGGTGGCTTGGGCTACATTGATGAAGATACTAAACCTATCTGTATACATCGACCTACTGCAAAGTCCATAGCGAGTATTGGCTGAAAATATTGGCTAATTGTATTGTTATTATCGTTTCCATATCACTGTACAAATTTTGACCATTAGTGATCACGCATAAAATCAATTTTAACTACCTAGAAATACAGTTGTTATTCATTTATCAAGTTAAAGGGATGTGACATACGATTGTAAGGTCGTTAAGCGGACTGTGTCTGGAGAAGTAAAAGACATCCGATTAAAATCAAACAAATAATATCGACATGTCAAGGTATATACAATCTTGATTCAAACTCAAAAGCGATAGAATGCGGCCTTAGAAATATTCATTGAAAATGACCAGGCGTTCAGGAAAACTGAGCCACCATATTACGGCTAACAGCGTACTTGCAACATTTTGTCAGTATAATGAGAAAAATGGACATATTTTTTATCGTACCCAGTTTAAATGTGTCCCATCAGCTGTCAATGCCGTCTTCATAAGATATTTGCTGTAACAACGAAGTATAAATCTAATTAGGATACAACAGGTATTGGTATTATTGGTCTGAACATGCGATGAGTTTGACGGAATAGTGTTCGCGGAAGAGGAGGCTTCTGAATGGCAATGATATACTGGAGAGAGAAAGGAATAAAGATACATTTAGTCACCTCATAAATTCCTGCTAGAACAACAAGTCCATTTTTAAACCCCGTGTTCAGGGTACAATTGTTTGCTATCTATGATTCTTGAGATAATATTACAAGTAAACATTTGGTTATCACGTGCTATTTAACTTACTTACATTGGAATATCGGAACAGTATCAGGTATAATTAAAACAATCCATTACTGTTAAATAGTATAAAAGAAATATTGATTATGTTTCGGTCTGAATACTGAATACTGAATATTAACACACAACGTATATACGTTCACTGACACTCTTAACAAAGGCAATATTGACTGATATTTAACTGTTAACTGATTTCACTTGTCATTGCATTTCTCTTCCTAAAGATCCTATCTATCGCTTGATTTCATCTGTTAATTGTAGTAAAAAACACCAACAATCGTTACTTATATTTTGCAAATACGTTATTTCGCGAACATACCTCTTCAAATTGTACAAAATACATAATAACACCTTTTTATAATTGAGAGTGAGATACATTAGAGACAAACAATGAATTAAAGGATCTATAGTTCCCATTTTTATTATCTTTCAAATATTTTCACTGTCTTCATATACTGGTAATCTAAATATAACAATTACTAGGACAGTTATCATTGGGAGGAGGTGGGGAGCAGGCTGAGAAATTAAATAGAATCACATGTGAGATAGTGCACAGAATCGAGAATTATGTTATCTAACATCTCCTTCCGGGGTCCAAATTCGATTTAACGGGCATCAAACGCATGGAACATAGTAACGTACAAGAAACTCTACACGCTGTCTTTTGCCATGGAATGAGGACGACAATAAAAGCTTACCCAAAATCTTCATGAACATCCCGTAGGGATTGTTCCCGGGTGCCATATCCTTTGCAATAGTGAACACGTAACTTCACATCAGATGGAACTTAAATGAGTACATGTAAGTCGATGTCATTGATTTAATGTGAAAGTGTTTCCATGAAAATCCTAATTGGAATTTTGAAATAACTAGAGACAAATAAGAAAAAATAAACTTACAAAGAGACCCCCGTGAAAAAGAACAAGGGAATTACGACCAGGTGTTCCGGAAGGGTTTGCGTCTTCTGCTACATTGGCGACGTTTAATTATCAGGTTTATAATAACAACAACCACACGGAACACACCATCAGATTTCACAAGAAAAAAAATCCTAGATCATATAGGTGACGATAAACTTCATATAGTCTTTTTCTATAGGTAACTGTGATGAAAGCTTATACTTCAAATTTACAAGTTTTTCACGAGAATCGTATTATCAGGAACCTACTTCGGCACATCGAATCAACTAAGAAATGTAAATATCACAGACGTGGAAGCAAGGTTGTTGTGAATCAAGCAATGGGAATTTTACGCCTAGACAGTTGAAATCAGTTTGCTTCTCTGAGGCGTTTCTGTGGGTTGTATCGAAGATAAACATCACAGTAAAGTATTCATCACAAAGTCACCATCAGTCTTTGTCATTTCGATTGCTTCCGATTAATTTCATCCTTTTTTGAGCTATTTATGCTTTTCAAACCATATGTTGTGAAAATCTGAAATCTCCTTTATATCGAACTGAGTTTGCAGATGATGATGAAAGCCATGCTATTCTTTCTTGCGAACCAAGCTGAAGAATTCTATTTTAAGCATACAAACAACTTGAATGAAAGATATACCAAGTGTACTAAGGTAAATTTGAATTATGCTGAGAACTAATAGTGATCTTCTTCTGAAATATATGCCTTGTCCCGTGTAGTGAATGAAAAATAATTTCATTTCCCCGGAAACAGAATAATCTCTAGTTAAATTAAGATATCCAAACACCAATGTATGCATTCATGTTGTGGAAAGTTGTCGAACCGGTCCATATGATTACAGTAAGTAAATTCATACAGTTAACGAGATCGATCGCAATATATACAGGAAAGAGAATTATTTATAAAACGTACGTGACATTGACGCAAATCCGTTTGAATAGAAAATACGGAATGTTTGTTTTGTCTTGATTCTCATCTAGATACCTATCTTTGGTAAAGGTCTGGTGAAAAGATATTGAAAAAAACATTAAGTCCATATTGAAGTATAGTTCAGTTCGCATGGTGAGCAATTCCTGTTGCTAAATAGAAATAAAATTTACCTATTTAGCATGACATGGCATTGCAATATGTGTGTAGGTGCTTATTTGTATGGATTCATGGTTAAGGCTTGTTTGACAGGAACACCTATTAAAGCGAAATTAATCCACACCTTTGTTATTTATCTTCTGTAATACTATGGGCGTTTGATTATTCTCATCAAGAAGCTATTTTCTTACAATCAGATATCGCCATATAATGAGTTGTTGGACGCTGACATCGTTATTTCTCTACTGGCAAACTGGAACAATAAACTAAAGCTGTGAAATTGACTAGTAGTCTGGCATGCCACCATAATTTGTAATGTCCTAAAGTTACTCCAAGCCCATTGTAGCCAAATATTTCAACTATAAAAAAAGCTGCAGGAATTGAATTTCGATGACCTAATGATTAGTCCACTGTCATCTCGTTTTTGTTATGTTAGGTCTGTGTCCTCGATCCCGATGTTCACACTTCAATATTTTCGTAACAGAATATGTTATTGTGTAAGGCGTTCAATAACCTAATCTGCAGACATCTGGACACAAAATTCAGATCGTTTTCGTCCTTAATGAATAGTATTCGTTTTCACCCCTTCATACATTGCCCTTAAAACAAGTGCAGCTCACTTTTAGCTACAATTGAATTTTGCCTTGACTGAGACGATCACTCAATGATATTATCAGAATAGTTGTACTGTAAGGAAAACATGGTGCAGAGCTAGGAAGAAGAAATGAAATTTTATTCCGAATGTAAAGTGACTTTAAGAAATGATAGAGGAAAGAATAAGATAGTTCGTGTAAATACAGAATTTTATAATGTCACTTAAGGAGATTTACTCCGGCAAAAACGTCAATACACAAATATCTTGATTAAACAGCCTACTTGTTTATGCTAAATATTCATACAGATCTTGAAAAAAAACCAATATTTTCCCCCGCAATCAAGAAACGCAGAAATGTTTCCTGATTCATCCTCAAAGTTAGCGAAATATCGAATCTCGAAAATATCAACGTTAACAGTATGTAAATAACAAACGTTTCAATACCACAAAATTACGGATTATAACATTACTGTATGTGACCGGAAAAATGAATCAGAGTTTTATATTCATTCGTGTGTCTAGATTGATCATCGATGTCTCGGTATTATATTTATTCATATGTCTGGATAAATCAACCATGTCCGTACTTTTTTAGATTTAATAACTTTTTTAGTGAACATTAAACTGTTTTTATTTTCAATTAATTGTACATCACAAATTTAAATACAAATAATAAACTATCGCAAAACAACTTAAACGATAATATGAATTCCTCTCATAGGATGTCTATTAAGACGAGATATAACGGGTGTGTATAAGTCACGGTAATGTAACACGTCCAGATCAATATTTCATTAGTCTATAGGCCATCACATAGGATGTCCTATTAGTCTTAGCTTTTCCGATAGTTTACATGCTGATCAATGTTTTCTGATGTGATAATAACACAGAACAAGTCCATTGATTTATTTAAACTGGAGTGTCCGTTCATTATAGATATATTCGGGATGAGATATTGAAAGGGATTTAACACAAACCGAATGACAATTTTCTAATCCTAGATTGATCAAGTAATGAAACACTGTGTAAATAGTAGATTGTTATTAAAGGTATGATGAAGAACGATGCCACATCATAACTCTCCTGAAGATGGCGCCAGTTGTTCAAAACTTGCTTTGTATTAACTTGTTGATTGCGAAAATTTTCAAACAAAATTGGAATCATTCTTTATGATTTCTGAACTGTAGGTTACTGAGAAAGCTCAGATTGATATATTTTGCTTTGGGAAAGTCCTATTCAGTGATAAAAATATAATTTGTTTTATTTTCTGATTACTCATTAACTGGTTAACTGTTACCTGGCAGGAAACAAATGGTACCAACTTACTAGGTAACATTTTCCGTCATGAACTATAAGTTACAAAAAAAAATATCGGCTCTAATGAAAGTTGATATTTCAAATTACTCACAGTCGATGTTGCCAATATGTACACCCATGTTTATCTTAAATTGTTAAAAAGATAAACAAACGATTAAAAACTTTCAAAACAAATTTGGAAGTCGACACAATAGAGCAAAATGATGAATTAGTCAGTGGTGATTAGTGGTGATTATTGGTGATCAGTGGTGATCAGTGGTGATTAGTGGTGATCAGTGGTGATCAGTGGTGATTAGTGGTGATTAGTGGTGATTAGTGGTGATTAGTGGTGAATCTTAACGAGAATAATCACAATCGTTCGCAAGCAGGAAAATTCGATTAGAGATACAAATGTTTAATCCAAGTCAAAATAAAATAAAATGAAATTGATTTTATCAGTACAAGAGTAGGGAAAATTGAATTCCATAAATAGGTACAATTTGAATATAAATCATATATATTATATGAAAACGTTATATCGTAGTATTTAAACATGAACGATACCTGGTATTAGATAATGATAGAGACGATTTTATGACATTTCCATTTATTCCGAAAAAATACATAAGTAGTCACACCGCTTGGCTCATGTTGTTCATTGTGATCACACGGGTGATTATTAACTCAATATCAACCAAATACCATAAAGAATAAACGTAAATATTACACACCTATAATCTTATAAGAAACTCTTTCCGATATATCATTTTGGAATTCATTTTACATTGAATCAAGTCTTACTTCCGGTCAAAACATGACAGGGGTACCTCCTTTACAACAAAAATCTAAAATATTTCATTGTAAACATAATTAAGATGAAGATACGACAGGGCCTCACAGGTCTTTCATTACGAAGTCATTACAATAGTATAACGTTGATAGGGTATCGAACGTCACAAAGAGCAGCAAATACCTGTGACAAACAGTAGACTGGCCAAACAACATTCTTGAGGCCCAGAAGTGCATTGTCCATTGAACCGTTTGGGATTTAACGTCCTCGAAAACAATTTGTCAGAATCCGTATAAAAGATTTTGCATACATTTTTTTCAATTTGATGAGAAACATGAACAAGATGTTCTCTTGCCGGTAGCACGTATTCAGTGTTCCCAGTAATGATTGTACGAGGTGGCTAAACATCACATCTTTTTGTCTTCTATTTCTCTGCCTGATATTTTTTTCTTTTTGCTCGACTTTTAAAGAGTCGACAAACCATTTGTGGCGTCGTTTGACCTTAACTTTAGCGATAACAAACGTAATCGATATTCTGTACCTCGGCTACAATCAATATGTTATTTATTGTTAGTTAATCAAGTACTTTCTTCATTGTGCATTGTAATGATTTCAGTGTAAAATGGATTGATTGTACAAATTGTATTGATTACAATGAAAAACCTACTGTTTGTACTAATGACAATATAATAAATGAAAATGTGATTTGAAATTATTACAGTGAAAATGTAGTTTGTAATTATTACAGTGAAAATGTAGTTTGTAATGATTACAGTGAAAATGTAGTTTGTATTAATTACATCGAAAATGTCTTTTTAATGTTTTGTAACAATATATAAAACATACATTAATTTAATACTGAACATGCTGATATAATATGAGTAGGTAATGACAATGCTTCTCTACCGATTTACACAATATTTCGTACATCATCCATGTTACCGACTCGGTGCTTCATCACCTCGTATACAATGTACGTCCTTCTTTCATGACTCGACACCTACTCGTTATACAATGTAATTATTACTCTTGAGGAAATCACAGGTGAATAAAAGTACTGATCAACGTGTGTTTAATAACACGTACTGTTTTCAATTTTTCCCTTTAAATATTTTGTGTCTAAAGACAATTGATACAGCTAATTTCTGTAGAACATAACTTCGGAAAACCTTTGTCAGTCACGTGCATTCCTGTTGTTAATGCAGTCAAATTAAGAAAATCTCTTAGAAACGGCAATTTTACACACATTACAAAATACGACAATGAACACTTCACAATAACATTTATTGAGCAGTGAACGATTTTGAGTAAATTTTATGGAAAAAAATATACGTTTGGATTGGCGATTAAGTTTTCGGAATGAAAAATATTAAATTGTTTATTAACATATGATAATATGCAAGAGGTTTTCAGTTTCATATTGAAACCTCCTTCGGACAAATTATATATAAAAATGGAGGATCGTGTGCTGGCAATGCATCCTATAAATAGCTCAAGCAATTGCAATCTGTGCAGCTTTAGATGAAATAGAAGGAATAAATCACAAAAGCAACTATTCCCTCATTGTCAGTTCTATGACATACAGGAATTTCTATAAAATACTTCATCACGTAGGATTGGAATGGTTTGACAGTTTATTTGCCGTTGGATTCATGGTTATGTCAGAAAAATCCTAAGGTGAAAAGATCGACAAAAAGAGACAATTTACAAAGTTTATATTGGCTAAATACTGAAACTATACACAATCTATATCAAGAAACATTTAAAAACCATTAAGAGCATGCTATAGACACTAAGTGATAGTAAAGGTCAAGATTCGAGACAGGTAGCTGGCGATCACGTTGCTGACGCAAAGAATATGGCACCAGAACGAAAAACATAGACTCAGTAATTCATATGTACTGGTGATTGGTTTGGTATAGCTTATATTGCTTATCGTGTTATCAACAGCTAGGGTTATTTAAGGACGGTCTCTTGGGATATGCAAAGTGAGTAGATCATTTGGGAGCTGTGGTATGTCCGTTTAAGCCTGCTTGTAATAGTGAGAAAATGAAGACTTTGTAACCACGCTGAAGGTCCCCGGCAGGACATCCGGCTTACTCCCATCCAGTTATACTGACAACTGGTGACACAGTCGTTACACTTCCATCATGCTGAACGTTAAGTAAGGAGTAGTAATATCTAAAGATTCTGCTATGTCACGACAAGGGCATAGAACCCAGAGCCTTCCACACAGGGGCAAAGCTCGACTAAAGACTAAAAGTGAGGCATTATCAAGGGAGACACATTAGGAAGAAGAAAGATCTTAAGAAAAATATTAATATTCCAGGTTTAGTCGCCTAAAACGATCCTGTAGGACATTGTTACAATGATTTTGTCAGGGTGTTACTATTTGTGAAGATAAATTGTCCAGGCATTAAAAAGATTTTAAATGATCATGATGGATGTGTGATTTTCAGTCTCCAGTCGGTGAGTGATGCACAAACCATCAGTCGTATAACCAAAGAATTAGAATTTCTGTTGTTTACTGTAAACTTTCTTAATTTGGCCTATAAAATTTTAGCGCATTAACATTTTCGTATCCACAATAACTGCTACTGTAAACAACTTACAGAAACTTCAATAAGTGGCACACTTTCAAAGTAAAAAGCGCTAAAATATCATATTTTGTAACATCTTACTGTCATTAAACGTCAATTTGATATAATATGCCCAAAGTCAGGGGAAGTTACATGGTCATTTATCCAAATTTTCAGTCTGTGATGTTGATGAATACAAACTTAGAATTCACTCCTTCTCAGGAAAAAGACTTCTGTATTCTTCAGGCTGGTTAAAATAATAAAGATATGACTAATTTAGCAATGTTCTGAAGTCACAGGAAAACAAATTAAAAACAAAAAGCCCTGTCTTTTGTAAAACATGTTTTACTTTAATCATGCATTGCACAATTTGCATGCTCCTTTACACATCAGGTTCATTCCCCATCAGTACATGTTACTGTCACACACGCAGGTACAGAAGGGGAACATCTCAAAGCCGTCCAACACTTTCATTCATTTTGAGATCACATCTTTCATTTCGATTACAGAGGTAATCTCAAATGCAGGCTTATATTACATAAGGTTTTGAGATCACCCCCATCCATAACAAATTCAATAAATCTCAAAAACTGTCATATTCCTTAAATATGTGTCTCTAATATCACATCGTTTTGTGATAAGGATACTGAACATATATCCTTGGAAACAAGCCAACAGGATTTAATTCTTAACTGAACTTGAAAATTGCTTCCCTATTTCTCGAACATGTTAATCCTGGCAAAACTGCCAAGAAATCCTTCTCTCGACATTTAAGATATTACAAAACATGAAATTACCACAAAAAATCTCCCTAGACCCTTCTCTTTCAATCAAGGACTAAAGGGGAACTAAATTTGGTCATCAAGCCATTAATTTGACAAATGAAAAAAAAAATGTGAAACCAACAGCATGTTTTACAAACTTTAATATTATTCAGATTGGAATTCTTAAATAATAAAGAGAGCGACAAAAAAAAAACCATGTATACACAAATACTGTGTTTAAAACACAGATTACTATCAATACAATTATACAGCTAACTTCACTGGCAACAAAGGGCAATAACTCTCCCTCAAACGTCATACATAAAATTGTATATATACATATAAAACCATTAGGGATATGGGATTTTTAGGAATGCCGGGGTATATACTGATTATTTTTCTTCTCAGTCTTTCACAAATATTAAGCAGATTTTTTTTCTGTCCATAAAAAAAGCAATATGATATCCAAGCAAAATTTCTTTTGTTAAAAATGAATATGAAATCCATTAATTCATTACGATTATCATTAGCCAATAATATGGTAATCATCAAAAGCTAATGCTGATGACACACAACAGCTGATTAAAGCAGAGTAACAGGCTTCAATTTGTGGTAAGTATGTGGTACCAATAGGTGCTTATTTCACTTCCTTTCAGGTAAAAAGGTCATATTGAGTCAGTTAATGGCATTCTGAGGTGTTTGAACCGTACAATGTATTGGTGAATTCCTAAGGTGTACAATGGATTCTTAAACAAAGACAAACATGTTTTCCTGCTATCTATAACTGTAGTTAATATAGCTTCTTTACACTGCATTATCATAATGTTATTGGAAACTTAAGTATTTCATTTTGTGACTAAAGATTTTATCAATGTGAAGAAAGATAAACAATATTACCTTTGTATTTATTCCGATTACCCAACATAAATTATCTATCTTCAAACTGAAAGTACAAAAAGCATATGTGGAACTTATATAATTGAAATTTGAGCATATAAATTTATCAAGTACCATTGACCAATATCATATCAAAGTATGACATCTGTGTCTGTTCATTAGAGCTAAAAGATACAAAATTAGGATCATTCTTGACTATTGCTAGTAAAAAGGCAGTGCAGAAAACTTTAGCTCATGTTTTGCAAATGCATGTACAATTTATAAACAAAGGAAAATGTGATTTTTATATGGCTGCATGTAAAATGTAAGCACATTTATCTGAGCAAAAATAATTTACATGCGTAATGCTCTCACCTTCTCTAAATTGACTAAAATTCAGTAAGGTACCTCTATCTCCTTAACAAACTAACAGAGCAAGTCAAATTTGGTGAGCTGGTGTCTTAAGATAAGAACCAAATGAAATAAAACTCTAGTCAAGCTGAAACATGGAGGAGAAAACACTCTCTAATAGCCACAATTAGTTCAGTACAGCTATAAGGTGTCATAATATTCAAGGGAATGACTTACAAACTTACAGATGGGTAAAAATAATTGTTAAAAAAAATCTTAATCTAACACAGATTTAAATATCGACTAATTTTAAAAAAAAATTCTTTGATACTGTTTTTGTACAAGCTAGAAATGACATCAGATGGAAAAATGTTAGGGCATTACATGGTTTAATTGGCCTCACTTCCCTCAAAACAATGATTTTTTTAGAAAAAAAATTAAATCACATCAGTATCAATCGGTTATTCAGCCAAACCCTATATCTTGATGAAATTATTTATTTTCTTCATGATATACAGAGTGTCTATTGTTGATCTAGACAGTGTCCATTATATTGAGTGGCTATCAAATTAACTATTTTACTGCTATGGTTAAAACTTATGCATTATATTAGTATTTTTTAAGTTATATTTAAATACCATTCTATAACATGTATCCATCAAATAATTTCCCGTTTCTTTAATCTCTCAAATTACATATAACCCTAGTCTGTGAATTTGGCTACAAGAAGAAAACAAAAGTGTGTGTAACTTCCACTATAACAATCTAGGCAAAGACGAAAGTTTGTGTTACAATGGTTATTTGCAGTTAATTAATGTTAACATGACAAGACTTGATCACCACTGAAAGTGGAGCTATTGCACATTATGGGTATACATTCAACACCTCTTAAGAATGACTTCCACAATAGAGACATGAACTAAAACGCTTCAAATGGTTACTGAATGCCCCTTGCCTGTCTATTTTCTTATACACAAGGATCATCCACCATTCCAAATTGAGCAATGAAAAACATTTAATATGATATTGTAAATCATTTGAAATACATCTCCTTCTGAAACTTCAAAAATAACCACAAATAGTTAAGTTGTTCGAAAAGAGAAGCAGATATTGGTACAATATTTATTATTTCTAAAAAAGTTAAGATGTGTACCTATGGTTATGTCCTAGTGAATGTGAAACAGCATATGGAAGACTTGGAATAATCTCCAAATATTATTGAAAGGGGGGAAAATGCACTCCAAATCTCACAATCAATTCACCACACCATTCCATCATATTTCTATAATATCACAAATATAAAGGGCTAAAATGCTAGCTGTAAAATATTGATACACCAATAAGGAAAACACAAAATACCAACATGCACATAATAAGAATTTCACATTTTTGAGTTTGATTTTGTATAGCTGAAGGAAACTAACAGCTGTAGTGCACATTTATGTTGCTATGAGAAACTTTGGATGAAAATTTTTATTTTTTTTTATGCTATGAGAAACTTGAGATGATATTTTGCATCTTTTTTTTTTAACATGCTATGAGAAGCTTTGCAATTTTAAACATCAACCCATAAAACAAAATCTGAGATGTTTAAAAGCCCATAATGCTGGATGATTTAATACAGAAATGCAACATCCCCTCAATAGTCTTAAAATAGAATTATGTCCATGACAGAAATTTCAATTTTTTAAAAAAGCTTACTCTAAATATCATAAAAAATTAAAATAAACATTATGATGGCATCACTTCAAAACTGATTTTCCACAAAACTTTGATACAAAAATGTTAATCAAGAAATTTTGATTCTAATCCAGTCGATACTTCCACAAAATCTGTGACATACACGGTTCTGTTATCATTAACATATTCTTTATGTAACAACATTGTTCAAATTTCATTCACAAAAAGAAAAGTCTACCATGTAATACACACTACACATCAACCATTCACTCCTACATAACATATTCTCTATACACTACATATGATATGTGATTATAAATAGGTAAACGTAACACTCGTGAGATCCAACATTCTATCAGTTGACAGTAATATTCTACAGAGGGTCAGCTTTTGTTTGACATTTCGGAAATCTTTAGTCTCCTTTCATAAAATATTCCTTAACTCTAAGATTTTCAAATAGATTTTTTCTATCTTTTCTTTCTTTTTTTTTTTTGAAAATGTACTTACAACACAATTTGAATAAAAAATTCTCATTTTGGGCTTCACAGTACATACAGTTAACAAGAGACTTGTCAGTACCATCTGTGAAAATAGTCAGAAAATGCACTGAGAAGAACTGCATACCAAAGAAAGTTTTTCACAAACTCAAGTAAAAGCTCAATTCTTTAAGATAATTAGAAATTATTGGGATGAATTTAATATTCAGCTCATTTAGTGACAATTCCCCAATACATGGTAGACAGAGTTGTTAACATTGGTGATGATGCCTACATGTGAAGGAAATTGCTTCAATCGGAGCCCTTAGATTATAAGATTATGAACATTCTACTTCTTGACAAATTCAAACTGGTTATATGACCATAGATAATCTGGGTCACAAATTCAGCAGGTTAATTTCAAAAGTGAGAATAATATGTATATATCGGTCATAACATTGTGACATGGAAGGGGAAATTCTCTCTAATGCTTTGCACTAATGGTGGATAGCAGTATTGTGGACAAAACAACCAACAACCCAAAACCCTTTGAATGGTTAGTAATTCTGAACACCTCGTCCGATTAAAGAAATGATACATTTACAGGCCTACTCCTTATTTATCATTATTTTTTCACCTATGAAATAAGATTTTTTGCAGTCCACCAGAGAATACTCCACTCATTCCACATAGCTTTGCCATATCATTAATGAAACATATTAACAAAGACTTTAAAAAGACAAAATAAATATATCTTAAGAAACCTCATTCTTATGAACATTCGTGGTATCACAAGTCTAATCTACAAGTGTGACAGAATTAAACACTATCATTCGATCATGCAGTAAACTCTGTAAACTTGATGTAGAGGATCTAATCTACATCATCTCCAGCAAGATTAACTTATACATGTACTCGTTTATTTAATGCTATCCATTGTAGAAAAAACAAAGCAGTCCACATGTTGTTTTGAATAAAACCCTTGTAATTAACCATGTCATGTATTTACAGATAGCCACCCATTATAGTCACTCTGTCTCACTCTTGAAGTCATCATAACCACAAGGAAATTGAAATATTTTCTATAAAATGCTCTTTATTCAAAAAGTCTTATCCATATTGTCGTCCGAGCAATTTTTTTCATTTTTCGAAATTTTGGAAAGAACAATTATGCCATTTTACTTGATGTAATGCTTAACTACAGGTAATTCATGTTAATTAGTGCTGCTATACCCAATATAAACTCACAACATACATTCTTTAAATCTATAAATGCAATTAATATGAGGAATGATATTAAAATTTAAGACTGAATGTTTATACATATATCATGGTTGGATGCCAATCACACGTAATCTACTGTCAGTATGAACATATATTATTTGTACCAATCAAGTTAATACATATATATATACATGTATAATTGTATATAGGGCGGAAGGGAACAATATAGATGGTTCAATAATCTGATGTTTGATGCAATGGTGATGCATTTATGGTCATCTTGAATAATACACCACAGTGAAAATAAACGTTTGTATACAGGTAATAATTTGTTTATATGTCATTACGATATCTCCAAAAATATTGTATATTCTAGATTTTGTATTGTTTATAAAGATGTTACATCTGTATATGATTTGCTACATTCTTAAATCAACCACTGATATCAATAAGTAGTTTTTGTAGAAGTATTCCTACATATATGTGACGTTCTTATGTGTTTATATACACAGATATTGATTTTCTCTCTTGAATTAATTTCTTTGAAATCTTGAAACATATCAACACTGAAGTGGATCAGTAAGGAGAATCTTTGTAGTGTCGGAGGAACGCTCCTGATAACCACTGTGTTATATACAACATGAGACAAAATGAGTACATCACTCGGTTTACATACTAATCTTACCATAGAAACAAACCTCTAGTATTGCCATATAGTAGACATCATTTCATACAAAAACTCATAAAATTCTGCAAGATTTTAACAAAATCACTTCATAATGACTTTCTTTTATTGAAGGTTATCCATTTGATTTTGACAGAATCCATTTACCTACGAGATTACACCAGGGTGAAACATCCTGCGAGATTACACCAGGGTGAAACATCCTGCGAGATTACACCAGGGTGAAACATCCTGCGAGATTACACCAGGGTGAAACATCCTGCGAGATTACACCAGGGTGAAACATCCTGCGAGATTACACAAGGGTGAAATATCCTACGAGATTACACCAGGGTGAAACATCTGTCCTATGCCGAAGGAAGTATACTGTTGTATCAATATGTACACAAAGATGGAAGTTAAATAATTACTGTCTATCAAAATGTCGCTAGGAAAACAAAACTTCATGTCATTACAATAAAGCCTGACAAGTTTAAAGAAAGTGGTTTACAAATGAGGGAGATTATCTCCAGTCAAGAAAAAGAAGCTGAAAGGAACAAAGGGCAATAAATCTCCAAAATGCATTGAAAAACAATATATGTTTAGCCGACAATGCATATCAAGTTTTCAACTGATCGGTCAAAAGAGAGAAGAAATCTCTGTACAACAGAAGACTAATGAAATTAAAGACCTTAATAAAGGGAAGTAACTCTTTCGGATTTTTTTTTTTAATCAAATAGCTGTGCAGGAAAAGATCATTTCATGACATAGTGATAAAGCCTGCAATGTTTGAAAAGAGATTGATTGAAAACTGAAAAGTGTCTAAACTGGACTAGGTGAGAAACTCTTTAACAACAGAATCAAAAGGCTGTTTAGGAATATACAACTACATGTTATAGTGATAACACCCACCAAGTCTGGAAGAAATTTGTAGGAGATCCCAGGCAAACAAAAGTTTACGAACGAAGAACAATGTTAATGTTTTTGACAGAAATGAGTGATGTGTAAAAACTGATACAAACGATCTTACTGATTTGATATAAGAATTCACGTAATAAACTTTGTGACCATGTAAGATGAAATTGGCATTTTCCATAAACTGGTTATAGGTCAAGTAAATTTGTTTGCAGTACAATATGAAAATATCAATTATGAAATCTGATGATAAAATATTTGCAGAATTATCTACTTAATGAATAAATAAATATTCAAATAACATATTCTGTGTTCAATAGTTGAGCCATTCTGTAAATATCATCACATAACATGAATTTGTGATTAAAGTAATTATTGCTTGAGTTTATAAAAACGTCAACTTTAAACAGCAGATGTCAAGAAAAGCGAACTTAATCAGTGATTTTTGTTTCCAAACAGACAATACCAAACTATGATACTGCAACAAATACAGATCTCCTATTCACAGTAAACTCTACAATGTTTTTCTTTCTTTTCCCTTTTCAACTACCATGGTACAGATTGTTTCATTAAACACTACTTGTTGATGGTTTGTATGTAAGAATTTTCAGAGAGAAAACATCACTTACAGTAAAGGTTGTTTTTAATGGTTCAAATTATTCTCATGATTTTACTACATTTATTTTTTACAGAATTTAATATACTGGACTTAAAATAATATTAATTTTCTCCATATATATAAATAATTTCTCAGTGTATCTATTCTTACATCTTATGTAATCGTCAAAATTATTGAAAAGAAAATCCTTTATTCAAAATAACAACCTTTACAGAAGGTTTTCCCTACATAATGTCAAGATTTTATGTCACGATACCACACTATTTATAGGATTCCATGTGAAGTAGAAAATACTACGGAGACTTTAGTGATGTTATCTGTATGAACTTGTTTCAGTATGTTTGTAGATGTTGTGGATAGGAATGAATTCTCAGGTAATTAAAATTTACACTCTTGAATTACTTTGGAAATGTGAAATTAATTTAATAAATCCAAATTCACACCTATATCATTTTCATTTTCAAAATACATTGAAATCCATAGTTGATGTTCTGAAAACTTAAACTGATTATTAATGGCACAAAACATGAACTTTGTCTGAAACTGAATAGTTACAATATTGGAAGACTTATTTTTGGTGTAAATGACACATCACCAGCTGACAGCAGTTTATAAAGCAACATGAATCAATGAACAGAAGATAATGTTATGACAATGATTTACACCAGCACAAAATAGTGAACACAGTCATAAATATGAATGGTAGGGTGTGTATTGACAAATCAATTAATATTAAACATCAGTTTCAAAATGAATTCATTATTACTGACGAAAACCACTGATTATGAATAACTTTGGTCTGCCATCCATCAGTTAAGTATCAATCTGTTGAAACAGTCCTAGGGAAATTGTACAATTATCTCTATTCACTGAGAAAATCAGCGTAAATACATCCACATATCTGCGATTTGTTACACAGCCATTCAAAAAGTCATCTCCAGCTTATTGCAATGCATAATAACGTAGTAAAACCCTTCGATTATGACAGACATTTCCATTGTTCAAATTAACGATATGATGAAGATTATTAAGTCAAACGTGAAATTATATTACAATGGATCCTAGAAAGTTTCAACAGACTGCCATAATAAAAGGAGGCATTGCATGATGATGTTAGAGGCAAACTCTGTACAGTTAGCAAGGAGAGAAGAAAATGATGGCTACTTCTGTAGGTGAATGATACCTTAGTCTGAAGCAGAACTCAGCCAAAATTTGTAAACATCACAAAATCTTCCTATTATATCATCAGAATGCCTGATGTTGTCCTAAAATAGAATGAAGCACTATTGACTCGGTTCATATTGGAGTCTGCACAAAGGAATCACACATAAGCCAGGCTAAACTCTTTCACCAAACTTTGTGTCAAGGTGTCCTTGTGAAATCTCTCATTGATTCACTAAAGCATTACGAGCTTGTTTCATTTTTTCCAGTCTTTTCTGCATGTGTTTATTGGAATTGGTTAATTCTTCAACATGATTTTGTGCCTCTCGTAACTGCAAAAGAAAAGTGCAAAAATAAATAAATGAACAAATGAATAATAATAATGATCAACATTTTTTTTTAGCATTAAATTGTTTTCAGTTGTTATTCCTCTGCATTATGAATGCCTGGAAAAATGAACAAAATCGGTTTAATGCTCATACTTTCAATTTTCACTTGTATTAAGATGAGGCAACCTCAATTTGTTTACATTACACTGGTTACAGTAAAAGTAAACCACAACTGACTTTAGTAACATTGCACCTTTAGCAATGCCACACTATGGCATATTTCATACAAATGTGCTTAATTTGGCGCAATCAAATTTTCTCACAATAAAACTATTTGGCAAATTAGCACCATGATCAATTTGTACATCTACAATAATTGCTATAGAAACAAATTACAGAAACTGCATTTAATGCAATCACATTTTAGCGCAGTCCTAAAAAAAACTCTAAAATAAGGTTACGGTTAAAATCATATATTTACGGTATCTTAATATGTATTGTTCAAGTTCATTAAAATATATTTCTTTTAATATACAAAGATACAAAGAGAATGCATTAAAATATCCATCATCACCCTGTTTTTCTAAGCATCTGAATATAAAGAATTTGCAAATTTTAAACCATCCTTAAATTTATCAAAAACAGTTTTCTTTCTCCTTGTGTCAAACATGAAGTTGTTTTGTCTCCATATCTCTATTGTAATGTCACAATCTGATCGGTGAGTGGTCAGATATCACAATAGACCATGTAAGTTCAAATGTAAAAATAGTACAACCTGATACACTAAATAATTTTTATTTTTGATATTTTACCCTTACACACAATCTATGACTATATATGGTGTCTCCCAGGACCTTAAAAAAATATATTAATAAAAAATCACTTGCAAACAGCAAGGACCATCATAACATACTCCCATGCTTCATCAATACCTTCAATTTGATAGAATACACATCTACCTAATATATAAAATACAACGCATGCCATGAAAAGTGGAATGAATCAACCAGAATTGGTCTGAAAAAAAAAATTCAATGTCAGTATGGATTGTCAAATAAATGAATTACCAATCACCTATCTATCTAACCTTTGTTCTATTGTGTTTGCAAAAAGGTGATTAGCAAGCAGATATTTTTTGATGGACCAATGCAGTAACAACCGCAAATAGTTTTTACTCACAAATCAGAACCTATCTATTTTTTCATAAAGACTTAGGTTTGCCTTTTTAAGTGCCCCATATTTTTATATTATATCTACTCTTAACCTCCCATTTAAGGCTGACTACAGCACAAAGAGAATTACATCACATCCTCTGAGGAGAGTGGTTGATCACTACCCAAAGTGATTAGTATTTCTCACAATGTCTAGGTAATGGAACATACACTGTGCTGTAACAGTTAAGGCCTTGGTCACACTACAGAGACCCTACTTCAGAATAACCTGGACGGTTAACAGGGGTGATAACCCAGCTAACTATCTAATTATCATCTCTTACCCATCTAATACAAACAGGTATATTGTATACCAGAGGTATGTAATGATCACTGATCCCAACGAAGGACAAATCTTGTTTACACCAATAACCAGTTTATTTGCACCAATATTCAGCAATACTTACTGCACCAATAATTAGTTATACTTACCTGCACCCATTCCCCATATATACTTACCCGCACCCAAACCCCAGATATACTTACCTGCACCCATTCCCCAGATATACTTACCTGCACCCATTCCCCAGATATACTTACCTACACCCATTCCCCAGATATACTTACCTACACCCATTCCCCAGATAAACTTATCTACACCCATTCCCCAGATAAACTTACCTGCACCCATTCCCCAGATATACTTACCTACACCCATTCCCCAGATATACTTATCTACACCCATTCCCCAGATAAACTTACCTGCACCCATTCCCCAGATATACTTATCTAAACCCATTCCCCAGATAAACTTATCTAAACCCATTCCCCAGATAAACTTACCTGCACCCATTCCCCAGATATACTTACCTACACCCATTCCCCAGATATACTTACCTGCACCCATTCCCCAGATAAACTTACCTACACCCATTCCCCAGATATACTTACCTACACCCATTCCCCAGATAAACTTATCTACACCCATTCCCCAGATAAACTTACCTGCACCCATTCCCCAGATATCCTTACCTACACCCATTCCCCAGATATACTTACCTGCACCCATTCCCCAGATAAACTTACCTACACCCATTCCCCAGATATACTTACCTGCACCCATTCCCCAGATATACTTACCTGCACCCATTCCCCAGATAAACTTACCTACACCCATTCCCCAGATATACTTACCTGCACCCATTCCCCAGATATACTTACCGACACCCATTCCCCAGATAAACTTATCTACACCCATTCCCCAGATAAACTTACCTGCACCCATTCCCCAGATATCCTTACCTACACCCATTCCCCAGATATACTTACCTGCACCCATTCCCCAGATATACTTACCTGCACCCATTCCCCAGATATACTTACCTGCACCCATTCCCCAGATATACTTACCTGCACCCATTCCCCAGATAAACTTACCTACACCCATTCCCCAGATATACTTACCTGCACCCATTCCCCAGATATACTTACCTACACCCATTCCCCAGATATACTTACCTACACCCATTCCCCAGATATACTTACCTGCACCTATTCCCCAGATATACTTACCTGCACCTATTCCCCAGATAACTTATCTGTACAAAAATTTAGTGATACTGCACCAATACTGTCACAACCATCTACAGCAATATCTAGCTATACTTTTATTGACACAAATATACTTATCTGCATCAATATCGAGTTACTCTTACCTGCATCATTGTTCAGATATACTTACTTGTAACATAATAATTTGGTATTGTTACATCAACCAAGCTGTTTCATCACTACATCACACTCACCTCTCTTTGTAACTTCCGTTTCTCTGTTTTAAGTTCATCTTCTAATTTCTCTGATTCTTCAGCATCAGTTTTATACCGCTTTACTTGTGAATCTAACCTAGTCACCTATATTTTTCAATTCACAAAATGAGGAAAATTAAAAATAAATTACACAATCAATGCCAAGTCAAACCAAATCTCAATTGCAAATTTCTGTTTTGCACAAATCCACAATATGCTTCCATCAGCCTTGAACATTCTTTATAAAATAATGAACACAAAAGTCCATTCTACAAACTCTCAAACAAGTATTGAGGATTAGTAATAATGCTTCTAATGAGCAGTATAACTAGAATATGTTTATAAAACAAAAAAACATAAAATTGCCCCTTCTATGCATACAACAAAAATATCATCAAACTTCCTATTATAAATCATATCTATTTTATACAAAATTTAAACTTTCATAACATGCATTTTTTTCATAACCTATATGGTTCATAAATCACTGTATTATCATGAACTTCTGGCAAAAATGAAAATATAAATTCCACATTTGACCAACATTCCTTTAAAATGAATTTCAGTAGAACTCACTACATCATGCAGTAAGGATTGGATGAAATTTTGGCAATGGCTGAGAGTTTCTTGTTGAAAAGAACTGATTTTAGTCTTAGTGAAACAAGTAATACAAAACAACACAAGTGAACTTACAGTTCCTTCTAGATTTGTTATATCTTGTTCTGCCTTTTGTAGTTTTAATTTATATTCATGTATCTGTTTACTAGCCTCCCCTGTAAAATAAAACATAAAATACACAGTTGAAACTTGTTATTTTGAAATCGCTTGAGTCGAAATTCCATTTGAGTTGAAAGAATTTTCAAGTCCCAATTTTTTTCCCTTCTATATCTTTGTTATTTTAGTTTGGATGACTTGAATTTCACTGCGTCGAAATTTCGCATGAGTCGAAGCGATTTTACAGTCCCTTCAACTGAGAGATGTAAATGTGAAATACCACAAAGAAATCAAAATACTGTAAATTTTGTAACAGTAAAATTTTTGTAGAAATGTGTAATTATAATAAATGTGAACATACATCATCTAAATGAAAACATGTCTTCATGATTCAATAACATAAAATCTTAACATTGTACATATTCTTTGTGGCATGTAAAAATCTGTACTTCACAGTACAATTAAACATTTACTCCAATATACAGATACCATGATCCTGTTCACTAGTATATCTCTGTAAGCAATTCTAAGTATCTACAATGTATATGCTTAAGACAATGCAAGGTCTGACATATTTGAATTTAGAACTTCAGCAAAAATAATATGTACATAAATTCATACAGTGCAGCCGAAAAAGTTGGTTGATTCTGTACCACCTTTTACACTACATACATCAGTGCTAGTACATTCCACACTGGTCATTTGTCTGATGAAGGTGACCGTGTAGTCAACAAAATGTCACACTCTAACCTTCTACTGGTTGTGATATAAGAAGTTCTATTCTATAAAATGTTTAGACCTGAATCTTGTACTTCATATTACCATTAGTAACATAAACTGTGTCTGCATTAAAATACATCAAACCAATCAGTGGCGTTCAACAACACATGCATCAGATATATAAGATTATGTACATGTCATTGAACTTTAATTGAAAATGACTAAGCTAAAAACACTTGGTTGAGATCTCATATTCAATTAAAAAACTTTTTTGACACAAATGAAAAAAAATGACACAAAAAAGACATTTAAACGAGTACTTCAGTATGGAAATTGGAGTAATAAAACCATTAACTTGCAAAACAAAGTTTTCTCATTAAAATATTTGTTTTACAACCCTAATTACTTTTAAACAAAATGGGGTCAGGTAAGTGACAGTGGTAACACACTCAACTCTCCCAAGACTCATCATCAACCTAAGACATGTTTTATTGAACAAACATCAGTAACAAAAAACTTTCCAGACCAGAAACTAGAAGCTGACACAAAAAAAGATGCAACAATTTAAGCCAATGTGAATATCAAAGTAACTTGAGAAGCTGCAGGAGATTTCTGGATGATAAAATCCCAGTCTTAGAGGTCAGTACTTACCTGTTACATAAGTGTGTATTATGGACACATGCTTAACTCAATCGCCATCAGATATGTTTCATGTACCGGTTAGACACACTATAGTAACTTAATTCACAAATCAGTACATTTACGCATTTCACTGTCAACAGTTGTAACTTACTTTGGACTTCATACAACTGCATCTCGGGACCATTAATTTGTGGAACTTTTGGTGAAGAATGTTCTCTTTTAGATTTTTCTTCATCAACTTCAATTTGTAATTTTTTAATCTGGAAAAATTAATTTTGATCATTTAAATGCTGACATAAAAAACCATATTCAGGATACCATAATTGTAAGGCAAAAAGTCAGTCAGATCTAGCTGTTCAAGGTGTTATACATCTTTAGAGAATGATGAGGGAAAGCAGCAACAAATGGCTTTTAGACTCCAGCTATTTTTGTGTACCATAAAAGTTTTACCTTGCCCATTTCAATTGGAAGCTAAAGACCATGGTTCATTAGATGAAATTATGTCACTTTAGATGGTGAAAATATAATCTGTTTATGTATACAATTTATCTTGTACACAATCTTGTAACGTCAAGAGTGACAAAGAGTGATACTTTAAACAGATTCATGACAACCAAGCTAGATCCGAATTTCAGTATTAAACAAAATATTCTTATAGATCAGGATTTCTGGAGTTAAATTTTCTATGAGTAAATTAGGAATACATACCTCTTTAGTTAATGCATTCCTTTCTTCAGCAAACTTTTTTATTTTATCATCTGTTGAAGAAATATAATCATATCAGGCAAGACATCTTATATTATCAAAAATCTTAAAAAATTCTATCAGCAAAGTTTGTTTCTTCATGTTGCTTTATGTGCTGTCAGCAATTTTATGAAAATTTGGGGAAAAAACTGAAACAGCCTTTGACAGAGATAAACTTGATGTAGGTCATAGAAGCAGTAAGGAAGCTTGGAATTTATACTTCTTATTTTCATTTTTTTTTAATGGTAGAACAGCAGCCAACATCCTGATGAATTTTTCCAATGGATTTAATTTTCATTCCACAATTAAATGCATTATTTGCTTTGAGATGTTAAATATACATAAGATGTTGGATAGATTATGTTGTTCTTCTACTTCCATAAGCAGACAGTAGTAAAAATGTCTACCAACCTAGTGACCCATCTCCAGCTTTGTCTAAAATGTCCGCAGCCTCTACGGATATAAGTAGACTTCCTAAAGCTGGGACAGGTGTTGTGTCGGGTACAGATGTACACTTTTCTAAGGTGTATGTACCCTCCCCCGATGATAATATCACAAGACCACTCTCCTGTCAACAAACAGTACAATAAGATCAACAAAAACAAATGGATGCATCAACATAACGTTTCATTGCTTGACCAATCCTAAACTAAGTTATGTACTAACACAGAGTGAAGTTATATTCTGTTAGTGATAGCTATGTGGTATCAAAATGTTTGCAGTCAGTTACGGTAAACATTCAGTCAGTTTTCACAAGATTAAATGTTCATGAACCTGTTCAAATTACAGTATACAAAATTATTCTTGTGAACAAATTTACAGTTAGTTTTGCATGCAACACTCATTCCCTGCCATTAATTAAATTTTCAAAGCAATGCAGACCTTGATAGCAATGAACAGTTGTCTCATTTTAACAACCTAAACTGTTTTATCAGGCTGAATGTGAAATGAAAATAGGGTGATGAAAACTTATTTTTAGCGACAGTGACCTTTGTGTTGGGAGTTTTTGACTTAGTATGCAAATCTCAGAAGTTCGGGCTATTCTATTACAATATTTACCTTCAGACTCAAGTACTACGTAATGATTAACTTCTATCCCTGTTGGGATTTCCATCCTATTACTGCTATGTAATCTATTAAATAAATTGTATGTGTGGTACTGCTAAACAAAACCTGGAGACCTAGGGTTGGGTAGATGTTTAACTGATATAGGTCTTACTAGCACTAAGATTGTTATGAAAGATACAATGCATAGGCATATTTGTAACTTGAAGTTTTAATATAGTTTGTCTTCCCTAATTCACTTGAGTGATTATCTGGTGAAACAAACTAGAATACTGACATGTTAGAATGGATCCAGCTTTGTGTCTGACCTTTCAGGGTAAATTTAACCTTTTTAGTTACACTGTCAGTATACACATGAAAAGATGTAAAATTTGACCTTGACCTTTTGACCTTGAACATTGGTGAGTTGACTACTGGTGTTATTCTGACAAACTTTGCTTCCCGCATCTTTGATGAATTATGAAATTTGTCTACTGCATCAAGTGACTTTCACAGCCTTCACAGTTGACCTTTTGACCTCTGATTCAATTCCATCCTATATCTTTTCTAATAATATTAATTTCGCATGAAGTTTCAATACAATCGATTAACCCTATCACAAGTTAGCATCTGGAAGTAAAAGTATGACTATTAAAGTCTCTTTCTAAAAAACAGTGACTTTTGTTGTTGACTTTTTGACCCCAAACATAATTCCACTCTTGAATACCTTATGAGCTAACACTGTATGAAATTTAAACCAAATCCATTGATCTCTTCTGAAGTTATCATCTGGAAACCAAAATATGAAAAACACATCTATTTTTAGCAATAATGACCTTTGTAGTTGACTTTTCGACCCCAAACTCAATCCCACTCTGAAATACCTCACAACCTAACAATACATAAATTTTCATTCAAATCCATCTATCTTTTCTCAAGTTATCATCTAGAAACCAACATCCAGACAGACATCCTGGCAGGGGACTAATAAATCAAAGTTTGACCTATCCGTGTCATCACTGCCCAAAATCAAGACAAAGTGTCTAAATGCTTTCTAGCAATAGTACATACCATAGGGTAACAGAAAATCAACCTGCTAGAGTTACCTGTTTAATTAATTTTTACCTCACTTTACTTACCTGTATAAGTCTGTCTTTAACTTCTAGTTGTACTTTTAAATTATTATGTTCAAATTCTAAAGTTTTCAAATCCCTTTTTTGCATTTCTACCTCCTAGAAAAAAGAGAAAAAAAAAAACAGATTAGTTATGGATTAGTATTGAGACAGTCCTATATTTATACATGTATAAAAACATCAGAAGCAAATTGTGAAATCTCGTACACAAAACAATTAAATCAGTACATGCCACATGTTCTTTTATCTGGAAAATTATATCAACTATCTATTAACTGTATGCAACGTATAAGCTCCTATTTCCAAATTTACATTAGCATGTACATGAAATAAGAATATGGATTAATGTCAGTGATAGTTAGATACAGCTGAAACTCGTCTCAAAATTACTTGATTTGTCTAAATAATTTCCAAGTCCTGTTTTTTCCTTTCTGTATCTTTGTAATTTTACTTGAGTGACTCAAATAACTGAGTGTCAAAATTTGCCTCATTGAGACAAACTGATTTTTTAGTCTCTTCAACTGTAAAGCAAAGGAACAGACATTTGTTGTCTTGAAATTAATTTTTGTCAAAAGATTGGCACATCTTCTAATGAAATTGGTTAATACATACACAGAGTAGAATGTCACTGTGCCTAACACATGGTTAATTATGGTGTAAAGGATTTGTATGTGCAACAATTTGTCTTTGATGACTAATTAGCAGTTTGATTATCCAATCAAATGTCGGCTTCTTAATTATTGTCGCCATCCTGTAGTGTGCCTTTTTCATGTGTTTATTCATCTATCATAAAGTCATGTTAATATGACCTGTAGCTTCATATATTGTTTCTTGTAGCATAACAAAAGCAAATTTTTCATTTTGTTATTCGGATGGATACACAATGCAAGGAGAAAGTAGAAATATCTTTTTCTCTTTATTTACTGCCATTTCAAATAATAGATTAAATTATGAGATTTGTACCACAGTGTACTGTGCTATCATGGCCTTACTTCGCTCAACTGTATGTAATCAAGGTCAAGAAACTGATGTCGTCGACCTTATTTAGACACTTTGAATAGAAATTCGGATGAGTCAAAATATTTTCCACAGTCCTTCAAATTTCAAGCTAATGAGTTTCGACTGTATTTTACCTACATGAAATAATACATACAGTAAAAGGTAAACAACACAGATAGATATACATTTTCCTTTTCTTATCCAGTTGATAATTAATGTGACTTCATATCTATAAATATGTACAAAGGCATAGCCTTTAAAACAGCATCATATTTGCTTACAAAGCACTCTATATCCAAGTACCATTTTCTGTAAGAGTTACTTCCCTTATATAAGCGTACACCAAACGTTGCTGTAATGTAAACCAGTTTCCTAATTTTATTTTAATTTTGTCTACCTATGGCAGTATTCAGATACATGAATGTATTTTCCATTAATTAAAAGAACAATTTACATTTCAACACAGTACACTTTGCAATGTGTATGTATTTACTCCGTGCTTGGGTTTAGAAAATAAGTTCTGGCATGACCTGATAAAATGGATATTTGTGACAATATAATCATAACATAACAACAAAAAGTTCAAATAACTCTGTGAACCAGCTTTCTTTCTTACTGTTTTACATTGGCAAATTTTGTGATCAAAGCAAATCAAGAAAATATATTTTACGAAAATTATATCAATGAAAATGAACACTGATTTCCATAGTTAAACTCAATAGGTGTTCCAGTCTATGAACAGTTTAACACTATCGTGTCCATCCCACCAATCAAATGTTGTGGTGCATCTCATCATAATTCGATATATTTCAATTGATGACAATAGTTATATACCCTAGTTTTCTGTTTAGCCTCCCGTTGTATTTCCACCAGTGTCTCCTCCAGTTCCTCCATCTGATCTTTGAGGAGCTCTGCCTTGTAAACCAGAGACTGTTTCTCGTTGTCTAATAAGGCATTGGTCATCATAGCCTTTTTGTATTTTTCCTCCATCTCTCGTAATTTACCCTATATTCATCACAGAACATAAAGAATCCATCTTATCCTGATATTTATAAAAGTAAATTTAAAACAGACTTCTAAGCATTTCTGTAATTACAACAACAGACTTTTAACTTGGTCTAAAATGGCTCATTACGAAGAAAATCAACCTATCCAAACCAAGGATTGCATCTTAAATTGAAATAGTAAGAAAAGATCTGACATCAGACATTGATATATCATGCACAATAACACCTGATCTCACGACTCTCTATACAAGTTATGTAATAATTACCTTTAGCTCTCGGGCAATATCTTTCATCTCCCTGGGTCCCTCCATGTCATCAATTGTTGATGTAGAGTGACTAGAATCATCACTTCCTCGCCGCCCCGACAAGTTATCTCGATTCTACAACAAAAAGGGGTTTATTTTTTCTTTTTAAAAATAGATTAAAGCTTCAAATAAATAACTGTAAATGTTGTTTAAAAATAAATATACACTGTTTTGGCTTTTATTTTTCTCTGTTACACACTTTAAGCATCTTATTCCAGGCCTGCACTTTATCTATTCTTCACAAAACTGAAATACAGAACATAAGAAATATTGTTTCTCCAATATTTCTGCAAATTGGGCTTTCTCTATAATCAAAACGATTATCTAAGTGAACATCTACACATTGTAAATAAACACGTCATTGACTTAAAAAACAATTGTGTGTTACCTGTAGTGATGTAAATGCCAGTTGAAACACAAAGAAAACAAAAAATCCAGCTCTTCACATCCATTTAGGTTAAAATCAAATGAAGGAAATTTCAGCAGAATCATTGCAACACATTTCTGGTAAGTTTTTATCTTTAGAGAGAATCTCAACCTGTTCTGCTCCATTTTTCATATATATGATATAGAAAATGTTTTAAGTGTGTTGGATTATATTTAACCTACAAATGAATCCTAATGTTTATCAAGAAATCAGTTTGAATATTAAAGTATATTGGTATAAATGATTACTGATTTGATTGATATGTTTCTGTGTAATGGTGTAATGCCTCCTAACATCACTGCTGGTTGTCTCACAGGTGACTGAGGCTGTAGAGGCACCTCCTGTGAGGCTCTAGTGGCACCACTTGTGAGGTACAGGCACCACATACGGTGGTCAAGTGGTCTCAATAGGAAGTAAGGTAGACAATCGCCTTTCATCTCAAAGGAAGTACTAGTTAGTTTTATCTACAAGTGTGTCAAGTTTTGTTAGCTTAACATCATTTTTTTTTTTTTTTTTTTTTGGGGGGTGGGGAGGGGGGAGGGAGGGGGGAGGGGGGAGAGAGGATAAGGGGAGGGAGGGTTGAGTGGGAGAGAGGACAATTCATAAATGTTTATCTTAATTTTTAAGGTTTCCTTTTGATCATTCCATTGAAATTATTTGGAATCTTAATATGACAGCAGTACTATATATGATAAAACTTTCTTCAATGATAAAGTCATGTTCTTCTTACATCCTCAGATAATGCTTGACACTGTTCGAGGAAGTACACAATTAAAATTAATCTTGTGTATATTTCGCTTTCTACTGATAAGCCATCAATTAAATTAGTTATGTTTTTATCATCACCTTTCCTTGATGACATTATGTGTAGTATGTGAGCTACTAGCATTTACTGACAATCTGTCATATTTTCAAGTTTCACATTAAAATTGTATTTCATACCATATTTTGTATTAACCGTTCCTTAGAAACCACTGTTACTCAAAGTCTCTGTATATGTAATTGTGAAGTGTTTTACAGCAGCGAAAGAGTTCTAGATTTCAAACCCGTTTGAGTGGAATAGTTTCTACTAATAATAATTATGACTAATCCAAATGTAACAATACAAATGTCAAACAGGTCACTCCAAAGCAGCCTTATCGTGAGTTTAGCCAGACAACAGCTTTGAGCTAAAGTTTGAGCTGAGGTATTAATGGTGTGTATGTACAATGTATATGTAATATGCAAGTATTGCCATTCAATATTATGAGGCCACTTTGTGTACTCTGATTGAAACTGTCCAGACAGCAGGGTCTTTTTCCACAATTCACAAACGCACCTGTTCTCAATGCTATGAGGAAGACAGTTATAGGTCGCAGTTAAAAATTTACAGTTTCAGAATTTCTTGTCAAATATTAACACTGAATAAACAAAATGTGTTCTATTTTAATACATATTGAATATCATCCTGGTCTTAATTTACCTATTGTCTTTCTGGTCCAATCACTTATGCAAAAACGACCCTAGTATTTTGAATGATATTGTATGAAGTTCATCTGTCATTCCTTCCAGACCAATAGTTTCAACCACTTACACAAAAGTGACCTCAATTAGTATTTCAAAAGATTTTATCATAAGCTAATCTGCCAATCAGATTGCTACAGCATTGTTAATTATACAAGAATTTGTCCAAGCATGGTACTTGAGCATGGGATTTATTTGGCATAAGACATTTTTCTAACTCATCAGTGTTTTTAATCCTTAATTTTACAGTAGACCATACTTTCATAATTTAAAGAAAATGAATTTCTGAACCAGAGGGATCTTGGCACCCACCATTTGAGGATCTGTTTTCAGTTCTTGAAGATTTGTTTATTTTTTTTTGTTTGTTACAGGTGTTGTAAATGTTCATGAACTGGTCTTCATTGAATGTACTCAGTGATGGCATAAGATATTTTTATTAAGCATCTATTAGCAAATATCATTTGAAAAAGATCCCAAAGTATTATTAGATAGCAGTCAGTTACAGGTGGATAATGGACAATATGCTTGTGCTGTATTACTGTCGACATCCAAGATGGCTGCCTGTGGGCCACCTTGACTTCAAATCAGTCCAAAAAAGGTACAATGCACAACTAGGGACCAAGGGAAACCAATATCTATGAAATATCAGAAGGATCCATCCAGTACTTCCTCAGATATAGCAGTAACAAGATTTTACTCTCAAAATCCAAGATGGCTGCCTGTCAGCCATCTTGATTTCGGATCAGTCAAAAAAGGTATAATGCACAACTTGGAACCAAAGGGAACCTGCATATGAAATTTAAGAAAGATCCATCCAGTACTTTCCAAGAAATAGCGGTAACAAACTTTTACTTCAAAAATCCAAGATGGCCACCTGTCGGCCATCTTGAATTCGAATCAGTCCAAAAAAGGTACAATGCACAATTAGGGACCAAGGGGAAACTGCATTTGAAATTTGAGAAAGATCCATCCAGTACTTTCCAAGAAATAGCAGTAACAAAGTTTTACTTCCAAAATCCAAGATGGCTGCCTGTCGGCCACCTTGAATTCGAATCAGTCCAAAAAAGGTACAATGCTTCACTAGGGACAAAGGGGAGACTGCATATGAAATTTGAGAAAGATCCATCCAGTACTTTTCCAGAAATAGCGGTAACAAACTTTTACTTCCAAAATCCAAGATGGCCACCTGTCGGCCATCTTGAATGTGAATCAGTTCAAAAAAGGTACAATGCACAACTAGGGACCAGAGAGAACCTGCATGTGAAATTTGAGAAAGATCCTTTCTGTGCTTTTCCAGAAATAGCGTTAACAAGAATTGTTTACGGACTGACGGACGGACGGACGGACCTCGGACGGCAGGGCGATTTGAATACCCCACCATCTGATGATGGTGGGCTAAAAATTGGGAAGATAAAACTTTTCTCTCTTTATCATGGATAAATATCACACTTTTTGGTAAGGGTGAAAACTTTGTCTCGGCTGTAAACAGGGCAAAAATATCATTGCAAATCTGAGTTCTGTCAACAAACTGTCATCCAGAAGCAACCATTATCAAATCACAACAATCACAATGACAAACATCAAACTTGATTGAGGAACTCTCAGTGATGTGAATCTGCTGATAGGTTTTTCAACATCACTGTGCTCACTTACCCATCTACTGTACAAGTAAGCTGACTGAAAAATCAGGCATTAAGGAAATCATAATAAGTATACATCTAAAGTTCAATGCATTCATAAGGAATACAATACCCTGACTCGGGTTTCAGGAAAGCCAAGTGATCGCACTTAAAAAGCTCAAAGTACATGTGTACATTATACAATATTTCAATTATTGTTTTGATATTTTTCTTATTTGAAAAAGGACATCATATTTCCATGTTTACACCTGTACTTTATCCGATAGTTAAGGCTTCTTATCTGAAAGGAGGAAAAGGGAAAATAGCAGTGTTTATATATTATATGCATTACAAGTGTGAACAAGGAAATGACAATACTTTCTTTACCTGACCATCTTCTTCTTGCCTCCTCTGTCGTTCTTCTTCCTGTTGAACCAAATAAAAAGACAAGTTAACTTACACATCAAGGCTATTAATATACCAGTATACTGTACATATACGATAATTTCTGTTCTAATGTAATATATATCTCTTTGCCATGGAGATGATGTAGTTAAATATGACTTAAGTGGAATAAATTATGACCATTTCTATGAATTGTGAAAACTTTCATTGAAACATTTTAACATTAAACTTTATATCACATGTATCAAGAAATTATTGCCCGACTCACAAGAGTATACATCCTATACACTTGGAACTATCCACACTTTGACCCTACTCTCTATAAATAAGGTCAGGTTTGTGAAAGTGACCTCACTCTGAGTTGATATGGTATCAAGACATTTTATTGGGACCAATGAAGTAACTTCTCATTACAAATAGGACTGAATAATTCATCAATACACAACGCTATCACTAATGTTTGTGATAATGACATGTAACATGATATACAAGCCAGACTCTAATATATCGGTAAATACCTCTGCTTTTATGCATTAAGGTGATACATGATGGATTAAAGAAGGGAAGCATTTTCTAAACAATTATCATACCTGTCTCAGTGTTGTGTATCATAATTGTATATTACATACCTGTCTCAGTGTTGTGTATCATAATTGTATATTACATACCTGTCTCAGTGTTGTATATCATAATTGTATATTACATACCTGTCTCAGTGTTGTGTATCATAATTGTATATTACATACCTGTCTCAGTGTTGTGTATCATAATTGTATATTACATACCTGTCTCAGTGTTGTGTATCATAATTGTATATTACATACCTGTCTCAGTGTTGTGTATCATAATTGTATATTACATACCTGTCTCAAGTGTTGTGTATCATAATTGTATATTACATACCTGTCTCAGTGTTGTGTATCATAATTGTATATTACATACCTGTCTCAGTGTTGTGTATCATAATTGTATATTACATACCTGTCTCAGTGTTGTGTATTATAATTGTATATTACATACCTGTCTCAGTGTTGTGTATCATAATTGTATATTACATATATGTCTCAGTGTTGTGTATTATAATTATATATTACATACTCGTCTCAGTGTTGTGTATTATAATTATATATTACATACTTGTCTCAGTGTTGTGTATTATAATTATATATTACATACTTGTCTCAGTGTTGTGTATCATAATTCTATATTACATACTTGTCTCAGTGTTGTGTATCATAATTCTATATTACATACTTGTCTCAGTGTTGTGTATCATAATTCTATATTACATACTTGTCTCAGTGTTGTGTATCATGATTATATATTACATACTTGTCTCAGTGTTGTGTATCATAATTCTATATTACATACTTGTCTCAGTGTTGTGTATCATGATTATATATTACATACTTGTCTCAGTGTTGTGTATCATAATTGTATATTACATACTTGTCTCAGTGTTGTGTATCATAATTCTACATCACATACTTGTCTCAGTGTTGTGTATTATAATTATATATTACACACATCTCTCTTCTGTGTATCATTATAATATATTACATAACTATTTAATTATTCTATATGTATTTCATGCTTTCTGATGCTATAGTAAAAAAATAGCTAATCAGAGAAGCTGGCAGTTGACCATAAAATATATAACAAATTATCTGTTAATCCTTTATTGAAGTTTGAATTCTAACATTTTTATTTCTTTCATTTTGATTTTTAACCTCCATCCATTCTACCCTGTGACAGGCAGTTACCATTTTGGTAATGTAAAAATGTTGGGGAAATGTCACTTTCTTAGATCAATAATGAAAATGATCATAACCATTTGAAAAAGAGATTGATAATTGTATAATATTACCTCTCTTTGTTGTCTCTCTATCTCCTTGATTCTGATATCCCTTGCTTCGGCTCGTGCAGCTCGTTTGGCTGCAAGACGTGACTCAGCCTACAACAAAAATAATTCTATAAATCATCACAGACTAAAGAGATAAAATGACAATTAAACCTAATTATCTCATTGTTTTTGTATAACACAATACATCCCTGGATTTGAAGTGTCAAAACTCCAGAAATTATATACCTACATCTTTCAGATGTGTACATCTGAGTTCATACTAATCATATAGGGCTACTTTTGGCTTCCTTCCCAAAACTATTCTTGTTGTTTTTATGACCATGCTATTATATAAACATAAAACAACAAACAGTATATTCATTATTTGATGACAAATTGGGATCCTGCTTTGGGTGTATACATGAATAATTCAGAAACTTGAAATTAATTGTTGAGATCTATCTACCTGTGAAGTTTCATGCTAATACCTCTCATAGTTTCAGTGTCATACTCCAGACAAAATTTCAGTAGGAAAGATATCAAAGGGCAATAACTCCTTAATTATGCAAAAGAGAGTCAATGATGATACCTCAAACATTGACAAAACCAGAATAAACATTAACAAAACCATTGTTAACACTACAAAACCAGCGTAAACACAAAGCTAGTGTAAACACTGTAAAACCAGTGTAAACATTAACAAAACCAGTATAACACAAACAAAAACCAGTGTAAATGCAAACAAAACCTGTGTAAACACAAACAAAGCTAGTGTAAACACTGTAAAACTAGTTTAAGCATAAACAAAACCAGTGTAAATACAAAAAAAAAACAGTGTAAACACAAACAAAACCCGTGTAAACACTGTAAAACCAGTGTAAACAGTTAACAAAACCTGTGTAAACACAAACAAAACCAGTGTAAACACAAAGCTAGTGTAAACACTGTAAAACCAGTGTAAACAGTTAACAAAACCAGTGTAAACACAAACAAAACCAGTGTAAACACAAAGCTAGTGTAAACACTGTAAAACCAGTGTAAACATAACAAAACCAGTGTAAACACAAACAAAAACCAGTGTAAACACAAACAAAACCTGTGTAAACACAAACAAAGCTAGTGTAAACACTGTAAAACCAGTTAAAGCATTAACAAAACCAGTGTAAATACAAAAAAACCAGTGTAAACACAAACAAAACCCGTTTAAACACTGTAAAACCAGTGTAAACACAAAGCTAGTGTAAACAGTTAACAAAACCAGTGTAAACACAAACAAAACCAGTGTAAACACAAACAAAGCTAGTGTAAACACTGAAAAACCAGTGTAAACATTAACAAAACCAGTGTAAAGCACAAACAAAAACGAGAGTAAACAATGACAAAACCAATGTATACACAAAGCCAGTGTAAACACTGTAAAACGAGTGTAAACAATGACAAAACCAGAGTAAATACTGACAAAACGAGTGTAAACAATGACAAAACCAGTGTCAATACTGACAAAACGAGTGTAAACAATGACAAAACCAGTGTCAGTACTGACAAAATCATTGTAAACACAAACAAAACCAATATAACACAAACAAAACCAGTATAAACAATGACAAAACCAATGTAAACACTAACTAAAAATACTGCAAACACAGACAGAACCAATGTAAACACTGACAAAAAATGCTTTGAACACAGACAAAACCAGTGCAAACACTGACAAAACACTGTGAACAGACAAAACCAGAAGAAATATTTATGTAATGTAATATAAAACTTTCATTTCACTTCAACTTCATTAGAGTGATAGTATGTATGTATTTTACCTACAACTATATGATGCAATGGTATATATTAAGGAGGAGGCCTAAGGAAGCCTTACATCTCTCCTATACAGTGTGTATATATAGCAACTGTAACTGATTCTATTATCCGCAGGCTACACAACTGATGTGTAGGCTGTAAAAATCAGGTTTCACAGTAAATATATCATGAGAACATGTCTTCCAGTGTAATTATAGCGAGAGACTTGATAATTACAGCCCAAACTAATACATGTATGTTAGTTAATTAGTTTTATGGAAGAGGGTGGACTCAAAGAATTGATCAAAATCATTGGTGTTGCCAGTTTGTACTCCTGAAATTCACACTCTGACCTGATCTAATACATTATATCCATATACATATATATACGTATACTGGTAAAATACTAGGTATGTATAAACGTATGTATCAATAACTAACTGAATTCCTTTTTCTAATAAGTCTGTGCAGCACCAGTTTTGTTGCATGGAATGGTTGATTTGTTCATTCTTGGTTGCTGGCCCTGGGTGATCACCCTGTGAACAGCAAGGGCCTTTTGAGGCAGGGTTGCCTTTAAGTTACCAGTGGCTACATCATGAACACCATACAGGAGAACTGTCATATACCGTCTAGATTACCCGGTAATTGAATTTTGTCCAAAAATACAACCACAACTGCCAAGAACAGTACATTTCTCAACTTCCTGAGAAATACAAACCCCTATGCCATCATGTATTAAAGGAAAAAAAAATCAAAAATACAAAATGGTGATTATAATTAACAACAGTAGTGACCAACAATTCAGAATTCTACTTGTACTTATTTCAAGTTAAAACTGTACAATACTTCATCACGGAAAAAAGCAGATTGTTGTGAGAGGGGGAACATCCTAATGTGAAGCACTACATGTATGAATGTAGACCCGCTGTTTATGACTGATAAAGCTTCATTTTGTGTGTCACAGTGGGTAGTGTATATATTGATATCATCTTATATACAGAGATCAAAACCATGAGAGTCGTTCTTGGTATCAAGTCCAACCCAAGTCTGGTGATACATTGTAGCATCTGCATCCAAATTTATCATCCTTTAAGTTCATATCAGCTTTACATTTATATATAGTGTAATTTCATGGTTCACCATGTTGGTGCATTAATGTGAACTTAATATCTTTTAGCCTATACAGGTTATCTGTATGAGCTTAAATTTTACACAATCTACAAATACTAAATAAAAATACTTCAATATAAGCCATCTTTTGACATATATATTTGTCGATTTTTATACAAGTATACATGGCATGTGATCTTCATTTTTATCTCCACAGAATCTTTCAACTTCCTGTTAGACTGAAGAAAGATTACAAGATATATACACTTTATATGACTGAAAACATGAAAGACTTGTGAAAAGTATGTCACTCTACCTACTAAGGAACATAACTACAACTTCAAATTCTATTTTATTACAATAATTGCACACAATAATTGATGAAATTTTAAAGTATTACATGGAATTCATAATTCCAAGTGCAAGGTGTGACCTCTAATGAAATGTTGATATCAAATATTACACCAGGAAGGTGTGGCCCTTCAATTAGTCATGTATTCCATATAAAGCCAATGAACAAGTTGATATAACTATAATCTGTGGACAGAGATATGGAGACCATGGAGACCAGCTGATTTTGGTGATATGGAGACCAGCTGATTTTAGTGATATGGAGACCAGCTGATTTTAGTGATATGGAGACCAGCTGATTTTGATGATATTGAAACCAGCTGATTTTAGTGATATGGAGACCAGCTGATTTTGGTGATATTGAAACCAGCTGATTTTAGTGATAAGGAGACCAGCTGATTTTATTGACATGGAGACCAGCTGATTTTAGTGAAACACTTAATATTCTGTTACTCCAAGAAGTATTCATATGTACTTTTTGCAATACATGTAATACACATGTAGCTATTTAAACTTCAACTAGCTGACAGCTCATTGCTATAATAGTATCATCTAGTATAATTGAGATGATACAGATCAATGGGAACTGAAGTTAATCTTGAGAAAAATGCTTTTTGTACATGTCTATATTGCTAAAATTTCAAATTCATAATTCCAACTCTACGACAGACAACTAATATTATATTCATAAATGATAAGTATATTATCAATCAACAAACCATATTCAGTGATTGTAGCAGGAATAATTGTCCTATAATGTTTTATAAGGAATCATATATCACTACATCAGCTTTTCTTATAACATAAAAGTATTTATTTATATCAATGGAGTTACATTGCCTCTGCTATGGATTGAACTAATGGACCACTTCCTCAACAAGCTAAGTAGCTATATCCAAGTCAAGTTAATGAGAATTCTCCCCTGAGAAGCAGATATTGTGACTAACTGCAACTTGTGTCTAGAAGATGATGGGAGAAAATGAATTAAATATGGCTTAGAGTTCCTTCCCTTATCAATTTCCCTCTAGAATAAAACTGACAAATAGTGTAAATGACAGTCTAAACCCTTGTAAAGGTCCCAAGTTTGATCTGAGCATTTAATGTTCTTTCAAAATACTAAAAGTTTGAATAAATAATTGTAAAATGCATAATTATAACATTTCGGGTCATATCACCAATATGACCAGCTTACACCAAGGAGCTGTGTTCTTCTGATTTTTGCTCATGTTAAATCATCACAATGATCAAAACAAAGAGCTGTAATCCTATTATAGGGACCTGGCAGAATTTTTTTCTCAAAGTCAATATTTTCCTAACAGGTTGATATAACACTAAATTGACCGAAATCAAAGGTTCTCTTAATTTCCATATTACATATATGTACCAGTAGATTATTGCTTTGAATATATATATATATTTATGAAACAGTTTAATCTTAAAATTGAACGGTCGGACAAATGTGATTATTTTCTAAAGAGTACAAAAATTCCTTAACCTGTTAACAAATAAATGCCCAAATCAGAATATCATAAATCATACTCTTCAAACATGAATATAATATTCTGAGATCCTGCTGTTCTGAATTCAGAAATATGGAATCAATATTTTACAAATTGACATGCATGTAACAATCACTTATTCCATCTATCAGAACAAAGGGAAATCTTGGCATATTTTATATTCTTTTACTGGTAGACATATCTGAATTTTCACATGCGAAATCTACGTAATTTTCTCATTTAACTGGAATATATAATAATTGATAGTTCATTGCCTAATTATTTTATATTATAAAGAATTCAGTCACTAACTAGTTTAGAAAGCACCATCTACATGTATATCTATAATAATTAAAA